ACCTAAGTACGTGTGTCGCCTGGACAGTCAACCTCGCTACATCCTTGTTGACTGGACATCTACACTACATGAGCTGCTGTTTACATGTGAACATTAGCTCATGACGATACCTAAGTACGTGTGTCGCCTGGACAGTCAACCTGGCTACATCCTTGTTGACTGGACATGTACACTACATGAGCTGCTGTTTACATGTGAACATTAGCTCATGACGATACCTAAGTACGTGTGTCGCCTGGACAGTCAACCTCGCTACATCCTTGTTGACTGGACATCTACACTACATGAGCTGCTGTTTACATGTGAACATTAGCTCATGACGATACCTAAGTACGTGTGTCGCCTGGACAGTCAACCTGGCTACATCCTTGTTGACTGGACATGTACACTACATGAGCTGCTGTTTACATGTGAACATTAGCTCATGACGATACCTAAGTACGTGTGTCGCCTGGACAGTCAACCTCGCTACATCCTTGTTGACTGGACATCTACACTACATGAGCTGCTGTTTACATGTGAACATTAGCTCATGACGATACCTAAGTACGTGTGTCGCCTGGACAGTCAACCTCGCTACATCCTTGTTGACTGGACATCTACACTACATGAGCTGCTGTTTACATGTGAACATTAGCTCATGACGATACCTTAGTACGTGTGTCGCCTGGACAGTCAACCTCGCTACATCCTTGTTGACTGGACATCACATGAACTTGCATACTAGATAATTTATTTGATTAAAGTTATTGTACTTAGTTTCCGAATTATTTACAAACAATTTACATTAATTTGGCGATGATATACATTGAATTTTACGGTTGAGGGATCAGAGTTTCAACTGAGAAATAATTTCAACTCTCTATTTCTTTATAAATTAGTATTTCTACGTAATTCCTCATGTAAGTATCAATTCCTGCGGTTAAGTGTTTAAGATGGCACTTTAGGTGTTTTTGTAGTCTCACAAAAAGTTAGTCAAGGCAAGAATGTGAGACGGACACGCGCGCCTTCGTACTAGTTTCCCGCCTGTTGTACAGGATGCCCCCGTGAAAATTTAGTTTTATATTTTTTTTATTGCCTATCTGTTGATATGAAGGCAACAAAAATATATCCAAACTAATATTATAAATGTGAAAGTAACTCTGTCTGTTTTTTCTTCACGCCTAAACTACTGAGCCGATTTCTGTGAAATTTGGTACAGACATAGTTTGGAACTCGAGAAAGGACGTAGGATAGTTAGTATTTATTCCACCAGAAAGCAGTCGCGGGCAAACGCTAGTATACTTTAAAAAACTTAACTGCCTGACTATTTTGGTTCATTAGATACAGTCTGGTGACAGACAGACTTAGCTGCAGGGTTGACACAGTGTTTCCCGCACAGAACAACACTGTGATCCTCAATTCGTTGTTTCGGGTCTGTGTCGCTTATGTATGTGAAATTTTATGTTTTTTTTAAGACAGACTAACACCCGTTTTCTGAAAGGCTAGTCAACGCTAAAATTAACTAATATCCTGTTAAAACTCTTGTCAAGTCATCTGATTGGTTGTTGATAATTCAGTCAACCAATCAGATGACTTAACAAGAGATTAAATTGATTTTAACATTGATCGGCCTTTCGGAAACCGGTTGTTGTCTTAATACAATAAATAATAGTTTTTCCGTTTTACCCATCGGGTACAGAACCCAAAGAAAGAAATAATAACTATCAATCCCGCTACATGTACTTTGATTTTTTAAAATATTTATCTACATATTTACTTTTATTAAGAATGCTATTCAAATATATTGAGCAATATAATAGTCGAATTCCAATTGACAATTTCTCATACCTAACTGTCATATGTTGAATTCTGACATTATTGGTATAGATCGGTAAAAAAATCGGTCGTTAGTCGATTTCGTGAAACAATTTAGTCGATTTCAACTCGATGTGGTATTCGATTGTTCTTTTTTTGGGAATAATTTTCAAATAATTTTCAAATAATTTTCAAAGCAAGATTTTGAAATGCATTTTTTGGGCAGTTTTGTTATGTAATAAATTCTACTAAGTAATAAATACCTATTTTACGTATGTCTAAGCCCAGAACTGGGTTTAGGAATAAAAACTACACATTTAAGGCAACTACACAGCTTACATAACGGACTACATTAAAAATGGTGTTCTTTTAAATTGTATAGAAGAATTTGGAAATATATGAGAAAATTGTATTAAATACTTACATCACACATCATCAGCCTATAAGTGCCAAGGCCTCTTCTCACACGGAGAAGGTTAGAGCATTAACCACCACGCTTGCTCAAGGCCGGTTAGCGATTTCAAACTTATAAGTAGAAATTATAAGTCCAGGTTTCCTCAAGATGTTTAACTTCACCGTATGTCAGTGGTGTATAAATAATGATAGAAAGTACATATAACTCGGACAAAGTCACATTGGTACTGTCTGGTTTCGAACCCTCATGTATGAAAAGCGGGCGGCTTAATATCTGGGTTAATAACATTTATTTACGAATAATAGGTGACTGTCCACTGTTCGACTGTGGACCTCATCTACTTCAGACGGTTCGCATTAATCACCACACTTGGCAGGCGGACTAGAGATCGCAGTTTGAAAAAATTAAGTTGATCATAATTATGATATGTTTACTAAATTGTACTTCTTGAAGCGTAGTTTGAAAGTAGATGTATAATCCTTATAGTGAGTAGCTAGTTCTAAAAACCACTTCTGGCGATTAGTAGTAATACAATTTTCTCTGACTGAATTAATTAATATACACATTAGTATTAGTAGCTTTGGCTAAGAATATGATCATCTCTTTCTAACTCTGACAAAATAATAATCAGAGGAAAGGAGACAGATATATATCTTAGCCAAATCACATAGTCTACTATAGGGACGACGTTTTATATATTTTTAACTATCTAGATAGACTCAATTGGTGATTTTTGAAACACACCAAATCGACTATTTTCTAAAAAAATCCACATACATACATATAACTACAAAATACAATAGCAGCAATCAAATTATTTGTCATGGATTCTAAATCACCACTATCACCACATTGCCCGTTGCGGTGATTAACGCAAAATCGAACAACAATACGTTGTTTTAAGCTAGGAAGACTATATCAGTGCTTTTTACTGGCAAAGTGGTTAAATAACCATATATTTCGACAATTACAGTAAAAATTTGGTGTTTTACCACAAGCCTAGGGATTACAGATAGGTATATGAGATGTTACATTACTCTAATATGTAATAATAAAGATGTACTTCTAGTTTCCTGGTTCTCAAGACCAACTTTATAAAACAACATCTTTGATTTCATTAATCCCCACTTAGGTAAGCATCACTTATTTTCACCCAACGGAACCAACTTAATAATGTAATTTTAAACAATCTAATTGAAAAAGAGTAACCATGGAGTGTGTTGCTCGTTCTTCTCCATCGGAATCTACACTTTGGAACGAGCAAATAGCTTCACTAGAGGACTGTCCGACAGACTTCTTTTATATCTTTGTACCATGGTCTTTAAGTGAAATAAAAGATTTGACAGACCGACAGACTGACACTTTTAACTTCTTATATTGAATTATTTTGTTTGACGTTCAAAAATGTCTACAAGTCTAGTTGATATAATTGTTCTTGATTTTGATTTCAATAAATCACCACTTAAAATGGATGCTTATAAATTATTGGTTTAAAAGATTACACTTTTTATAAAGGTTTTGAGCACAAAATGGACAATTTAGCAATCTACAAGATTATAAATCGGTTTCCGAAAGGCCGATCAATGTTAAAATCAATTTAATCTCTTGTCAAGTCATCTGATTGGTTGACTGAATTATCAACAACCAATCAGATGACTTGACAAGACATTTGACACCTAGTTAGTTGATTTTAACATTGATCGGGCTTTCGGAAACCGGGCATATATTTAACTAAAATACTTTGAAAACAACCTACTAAGAAAATTTCAATCATTTCCAACTTTCACGGGTCCAAATATTTCACTAACAACGAAAGGGTCACTATAACCAATTTCTCCCTCTACTTTTCTAATATTAAATAACAAATACGACAAAACAAGAATCGGCAAAAGAATCTACATATGACTGATTCAAGATTCAGGGAGTGTCAGACTCTTACTGACTGAAAAACCAGTCCGTTCCTTCTGCTCTCGGCCAAGGTCGCGATACCTTATTGCCGCAACCCCGGCTGAACATCAGCCCTATTGGGTCTCATCTGAGGTGATCTATTAGCTCTTTGGAGACAATAAAATGTATCCAACATCCTTAAGATTACAATACACAGCCTTCTTTCCAACCTGACCTGTTTATAAATCACTACATAGTATAAAACAAAGTCGCTTTCGCTGTCTGTACCTATGTATGCTAAGATCTTTATAACTACACCATTTGACGAGGAACTGGATGTATCAAGTCACGCTAGGTCAGCGATGTTTGCCGCATTATGTGTCACGAACCTTGGCTTACCGACCATCTCGGCGGCCAGAGCGAGACAGAGCATCGGACGTCGCCTGCGCTCGCGTATTTTATATATTAATTTTTCTCATAACCGTCGTTGTAACAGTTTGATTATTAGATTAACTTGTTATACAGTCCACTACTTCATTATTTCTCCCAACAATTTTGCTATCGAATATGCGCCATTAGCGTGACTCGAAATTAGTCGAGTTCCTCGTAAATTTTCGTGTAAGCCGGGAAACATAGTAATTAACATTCAGATAGTGATTAACATCAGGAAACACATGTCGCAGACAAATAGTTGAACTAACCATCTAAGAAACAGCCTGAATGTCTAGTCATTTGATTGAATGGCGAAATTTTTCAAATAGCAAATACACCGCTATTCAAATTGTACTACGATAAAAGGACTAGCTGATTGATTGAACGGCTATTTCAACTAGTTGGCTGCGACACATGCATTCTGATGTCACTTTGTGATTAATCCACAAAAACCCGAGTGGTGGTTAAAATAAATTCACAATTAGTAGGTGATTAACACAAAAATCGGAGTGGTGATTAAAAATAAATTCGTATGGTGATTAATGACTTATGGCTCTAACGGATCGGACGGATCATAGTCCATATCCCCGCAGTACTCAGCTAGGAAATCTAGAAATAATGTGAACTTGCCCGTCGATGATCTGGACCAACGCGCTGATACTGACTTCATACATGTTGACAGGCTTTCTAGGACACTCTGTGAAAAAAAAGAAAGAAAATCAATAAGATAATTAAGATTGCACAGATGACGCAGTGGTTGGGCAACTGGATGCCTTGCACACACTTATTATTCCGGGTCTGGGTGGACGAACCCACGAAACAGGAGAAAATCGTAATGAAGGTCTCCAAGCTTTCTTTTCTTAATGGACAATTTTAATAATCCTTCCTGCCAATGAGCAACTGCACAATCGGCAAAACATCATCGCTTCATGGTTTTTTTTGTGAGGGGAAAATCATCAAATGTCTTCTCTAAAAACCTGACTAAAAACCTTCGTTCATTCTGCTCTGGGCCGAGGTCGCAGTGCTTCATTGCTCTTACCCCGCAACCCCGGCTGAACGCTTCATGGTGGATATCTCATCCACACGCACGAAGCGATTCGTCTTCACTTTTATCATCATCAGAACCGCTAATGAGTGGAACTCTTTGCCTGAGTTTATACTCCCGGAAGGGTATAACCTGGGTGCCTTCAAGGCCCGAGTGAATAGGTTGCTTAAGGGTAGACGTACTCCATCGTAGGTCGCATCATCGCTAACCACCAGGCGTGAAAGTGACCAAAGACCCGCTTAACACAATCAAAATTCTGTTTATAGAAAACGACACTTTCAATATTAGCCGGTCAAATCTAAAAGCTCAATAATATTTCAAACCAATCACTAAGAAATCAAATATAAAATAATTTTATTTAATTCGACCATTATAAGCACAATTGAAGATTTAAAAGACAAAGTGTCAGTCTGTCGGTCAATCCTCTAGTGAAGCTATTTGCTCGTTCCAAAGTGTAGATTCCGATGGAGAAGAACGAGCAACAAACTCCATGGTTACTCATATTAAATACTAGCTACTTTCGCGCGGTTTCACCCGCAACTCGGCTGCTACAGATCGTAGCGTGATTTTTTATGCCTAAACTCTTCCTCAATAAATGGTCTTATTAAACACAAAAATAATTTTTATAATAACTATCGTGAGACATTCTAAATTAACTTACAATCGCGGGTTACTCACACTACTAGTTTCGAACCACAGAGGGGTTCTTGCTCATGAGCAGCGTGCGCGGACGCGGCGACGTCGCGCAGCCTACTGTAGACATGAGTAACCCGCGATTTTTAGTTAACAAAAATAATTTTTCAATTCGAACCAGTACTTTCTGAGATAAGAGCGTTCAAACACATAAACTCTTCAGCTTTATCTATATTTAATTAATTAATAATATTATAAAGAGGTAAAAGGACATGGCCAACTTTTGTATGGGCGTTTGCATAGTTATTGAATTCAATGTACATCAATGATTTTTGGTGTTTACATTCGTGAATATTATTAATTTAAATTGCAAAAAATAAAACACATGAAGAACTCGTAATTATAACAAACAAGACGAAAATAGTTTCACTAAACCTTTAGTCAGATTACTGACCATAAGTGCACGAAATAGGATTTTGCTTTTAAAAACCATGGCGTTTTAATTATTTATTTATTTATTTATAAAATAAAACAAAAGAATATGTATAAAGAATAATGATTTAGTTATTAAGGAGAACAAATAAAATAAAACTACGTAATAATTCACTTTTATATTTTTATTATACAGTGTATTTTATTATGTTTGTGTATGGATTGTACGTTTCTTTAATATATATTCTGTATAATCGGGTAATAATATGGTAGTACTTTCCGGCCTGAAGTTTTTTTTTTTTTTATTCTGACATGAGTATACGGGGTTTTTATCCACATGGATACGTCAACCCCATTGTACCTTATAGCAACGACATATTATTTAGATTTTACCTAATACTATTACATGCAATCCTAACTCGTCTAGGTTCTACATAAAGGTATACAGAAACCTATCTATTAATACACAGTTATTCATTGCTTAAGCCTCAGAACTAAACCACACAACCTTTTAGCAACATTGGATTTAGGGTTCGCCAAAATACTCTGGATAAGTCCAAGATCTAAGACATTTAGTTTAAAGTCCTTAAACAATGAATCCCTTTCAGTTTTGTTCTTAACAACTTTCCGGCCTGAAGATTTGAAGATTTGAAGCGGCCTGCTTAAAACAGGTGGTAATGGTGGTGGCTCTGGTGGGCTAACCACTTAAATATAAGGGGCTGCTGCATTGTTGTCCGAACCCAATTCCTGCAAGTTTCGTGATGAGTCCTGCACTGTCTGTCTATTTGCCTGCATACAGCACACATGACAAACATAGTTGCTTCTTGAGGTCTGAAAATAAACCCCAGTTAGAATAAACACATGTTTTCAAGTTTTATGTTATTGTACAGTGAGAAGTATTATGTTACAACATGCCTATTTTAAAGAAGTCTATGCAAACATGGAAAATACATAAAGATAGATATTATAATCACACATACCTACTATGAGTACTTTTTTATAGATTAATATAGAGAAATACAAGTACATGTATAAAACAATGAATAAAAAACAAAATGCTTACCACATTAATAGTATTTTGTGATATTAGGCCAGCTAGCAATGGAGAGTCCATACTGACATTATGGTGTCTTATTTTTCGAACCGATTTTCCACAACCAAGGCAAGCCATGTTATGCCCCAGTAGTCTCTCATGTTCACCAGCCTCAGTATTCAATAATAAGAAGCGTGGTTGACAAATAAATGTCCCCAGAGGCAACTAAAAAAAGATGCACTATTTAAAATCGCATACCATTATAAAACATATTATTAAACATATATTAAACATTATTAATATTAAACATATTATCAAACATTATAAAACAGACTAAGTATTATATATTCCGACTTCATACCTGGGTTTGAGCTGATTAACCAACGTGAAAGTTTTGTTTGATGGAGTGCAGAAAGCGAGGATATAAGACGCATCTGCAACCTTTGTACGCCTATTCCGCAGTTGATGCACCTCATCGTAATCCACAAAACAAATCCAAAACGCAAAACAGTTACTCCAGTATTATTAGCAAGGTTAACAAAAACACGCTGTCAAAAGTGCCAAACACGTTCCGTTTCGTTTAAGTTATTTTTTTGGTGAATTGGATAAAAATAAAACATAACATTATCATACTATGAGTATATTTTAAAATGCAACTAAAACCAATGAATACAGTTTCGTATGAATAAAATGTTCCTAGTGTAATGCATTTGTCGATCATATCACACGTTTTCTACGAGTGTAGTTTAAGACACGTGGTTTGGAATTGGAACGTCTTTTTATTTATCTTTCTCTATGGACTATTATGGCGAAACTTGACAAACGAAGTTGATTTTGTTGCATTACTTTTACATTTTTTTAATAATAATTGTCAGGTCTGGAGAGGCTAAAAACTACGTAATAATTCATATTTCTATTTGTATTTTACAGTGTATTAATTTTGTTCGTGTACGTGGAATGTACTTTTTTGGCCATGTCCTTTGTAAGTTTGTATGTAGGAGGTAATCTTTGGAACCGCTGGTCGGATTGCCAAAATTCTTTCACTGATAGATAGCTACAATGTTCCTGAATGCTGTAGACTATAAAACATTACCCTACGATCAAATGGAGCCGAGCAGTGGGTGAAACCGCGTGAGAGTAGCTAGTAATATTATATTATAATATAGATAAATATGGATACGAACCTGGGACCAATCCTGTCTGTACACAGCTAAGCACTGCTCAGTAAGAGAATCTTCGCTCAAATAATCATGTTTTAACAAGAACACCAGAACTGTCGCCATCGCCTCCCAAACATCAACACATTTCCCATCACTAAGCAACATTATATTCCTCGGACACAGAATCCTATCGAAAAACTCCAAATTCACATCACTATCATCACTCTCCTGCCCTTGACTACCCGACTTTCGTGGCAACTTCTCCGAATTTTCCGAGTTTGTTGGCATTTTTTCCGAGTTCGATGTGAGTTTTTCCGAGGTCTCCGGGTTGGGGTTGATTATGACTATTTTCGTTGGGATTTCTTCGTCGCTTATAGGCGTTGGGGCTCGTTCTTCGTCTTCGAAATTTCGGAATTGTGGGGATAATTCTTCTCTTCTTTCAGGTAGGGTGATTTCTTGAGGTGGGGATCTTTTTCTGTCCGGACAGCAGACGTTCCAAATTGCGTGGAGTTTTGAAAGGAAGGATTCGTTCACTTCCTTCGGTTTTCTGCTTACTGTTGACAAGAATAATAATAATTAGTTTATTTTAAAAGTAGTTTATAATCTTCTTATATATAATAAAAAAAAATTTTACAAAATAAAAAACCGCCTTCAAAAAAAGTCAAGCAATAAAAGTTCCTACACTAAAAAGTAAAAAATAACAATTTGAATTACTGCAAAAAAACTTAATTTATAGGTAAACTTATTTGACATTAATATTTTGCAAATATTCAAAATTTATTACTTATTTTTGGAGTCGGTGCCAGCATTTTAATGTTGAAACTTAATGTTAGTTAGCTTTTTAATATCCGGTGCCATTTTTCGTACATAATGCTTAAACATTTTCAATGTACTTAAAATGTTTTTGTAAGTATATATATTTTATTTAAAAAAAAATGTGCAAATCGGACATTTTTTGTACCTAGAGAAGTCTAATCTGTATTTATGTCTTAATTAATCCTAACTAATATTATAAATGCGAAAGTAACTCTGTCTGTCTGTCTGTCTGTCTGTCTGTCTGTCTGTCTTTTCTTCACGCCTAAACTACTGAGCCGATTTCTGTGAAATTTGGTACAGACATAGTTTGGAACTCGAGAAAGGACATAGGATAGTTTTTATTCCAAAAATCTGCAGGAAGTAACTTTTCCACGTGAACAAAGTCGCGGGCAAAAGCTAGTATACCTATATTTGAGTATGCAAATAGGTATTAAGTAGTTTTATAATTAAGTAAGAGGTAGTTTTTCAAGGGATTGTTGCCCATTTGTATTTCCTTGCATGGGCTGGCACCGACTCCAAAAATAAGTAATAAATTTTGAATATTTGCAAAATATTAATGTCAAATAAGTTTACCTATAAATTAAGTTTTTTTGCAGTAATTCAAATTGTTATTTTTTACTTTTTAGTGTAGGAACTTTTATTGCTTGACTTTTTTTGAAGGCGGTTTTTTATTTTGTAAAATTTTTTTTTATTTGTAGCCGTTTAGTGTTTTTTTTTATTACAATGTGTTATGGCAAAGAAGTCAATATCGTTCCTACATTTCTTTTGAAAAAGTTACCAATGTCATACTTATACGTAGAAATACATATCATATACATTGTTACTGTGTAATCGTTTTGATCTCGAGGAGAGATGATATGATGCATGAGATACTTATGACTTATAGTTAAAATAAAATAATAATCTTATCATAAATTCATATTAGTTCTCGCCAAATAACAAAAAACTAGATATTTTCATCAACAGACAGATAAAGTTCAAAGATACCAAATGCAATCTAATTTAGTATCTATGATTAAATACATTCGTACATAGAAAAAAGACCGATGCAATTATTGTTTTGTATCAATTGTAACCCATTAAATGAAGAATACTATTTTGTTATTACTAAGAACATTCATATATAGACAAGTTGGTAAAAATACAAAAGACCATCGCTATTGTAAATATACATTTATGACTCATTCAATGTATGAACCTTTTTTAAGTAAGTATTATCTACATATGTGCACACAAAAGAAACACAATTATTGTTTTGTACGACGCAATTATTGTTTTGTAACCCATTTAAAACGACTGTTTTGTTAAAAATGCCAATGAATTCTCTTAGCCTATTACCAGGAAAACGATAAGAACACAATGACGCATTTCACCACTAATGTGTAAACGCAGTCCACGTGGACTAATGCAAAATAGCCAATACTAGGCCAAACTCCGCCCCCAAAGGTGTGCGGTCCCGCTCTAGAACCCATCGGCCATCTGTTCTACGAGCAATGTGCCGTGCCCACTGTCACTTAAGTTTGGCATTTCTTCGGGCTATGTCGGTGACGCTGGTTCTTCTGCGGATTTCTTCATTTCTGATTCGAACATGCACGGAAACTATGAGCATAGCCCTTTCCATTGCTCTTGACAGCTCTAATAAGCTTACACAATACTAGGCCCCATGCCAACCTTCCAGCTTCATCATCACATCAGTTCAATAGTACCTTACAGCCAAAGTGCATCTTATAACAATTCTAACAAGCCCAAACACGGCTAGGATATATTAATTAGGTACGCAGTTCCAGTGCCTACCTTCCAGCTCCATAATCATCATTAAATCAGTTCGATGATAACATTTCCAACATAATTATTTAAGATCATTGGTTTATAGTGCATTTTCATAGTTGCTGAACTACCTTGATTGTGATATCTATGCGAGTGTCAAGTTTCATCACCCATTTCTGATCTTCTTCACCAGTTCCACCTCATCAAATATTACTTTTTGACTGTAAATGCTTGAGTGCTCTATGAAAATATTAAAATTACTATATAGTTGCCTATAATATTTGAGGAGTTCCCTCGATTTCTCATGGATCCCATCATCAAAACTCGATTTTGAAAAGAATGGGACCAATCTGGAAGCATATCCTTTCAATCATAAAAAAAATTTTGCAAATCCGTCCATAAACGACGGAGTTCTGAGGTAACAAACATAAAAAAAAAAAAATAAAAAAAAAAAAAAAAAAAAAATACAATCGAATTGAGAACCTCCTCCTTTTTTTGAAGTCGGTTAAAAATGGATCGCATAATGTGTTGGTAAGCGCATAACTCGGCAACGGCTGGACCAATTTAGGCAATTCTTTTTTTGTTGTATTTCGTATAGTTAGGAGAATATTCTTATGAAAGAAAATATAATAAATGTACGGGTAAAAAACTGGGGAAAAATGGCCCTTTCGTTGTTAGTTAGTTAGTTGGACCCGAGCGAAACGGGGGCGGGCCGCTAGTTAATAATAATTATGTTGTTTTATTTAATTATTCAGGGGCGTAAGCACAGAACTATGTTTAAATAAAACGTAATCGTAAAATAAATTAAAAAAAAATCACACACTATCATTTATTGATTACAGAGATAGGTATAGGTTTTATAATTACTTATATTCGTATTTTTCAAGCTAATTTTAATAAAATTTAAAATCAATCATCAATATCCAGAACCCTTATCCCTAAAAAGGCTGGCAAAGTACTTGTAACTGCTTTGCCGTGTGAGTAAGGTTACCGGAGGGCCTTTCCTTTCCCTCTCCCCGTCCCTTCCATTCCTTGATTATCCGAAACCCTTATCCCCAAAAGGCTGGCAACGTACTCGTAACTCATTTGGTGTTTCAGGTGTATACCAGGGCAGCGCTGATTGCTTACCATCAGGTAATCCGTCTGCTCGTTTGCCGACCTATTACATAAAACGACGACGGTTGGCGCGGTGGCTGGGCAACTGGCTGCCATTTGCCATTCACTGGGTTCGATTCCAACAACAACTCTTTGTGTGATCCACAAATCGTTGATCCGGGTCTGGGTGTGATGTGTATGTGAAATTGTATGTTTGTAAACGCACCCACGACACACGAAAGTCCTAGTAACTTACCAAAAACGACGCAGAGGTCGACGCTAAGCTGCAATATGGCGCGTTGTGTGGGCGGACGTATGAACATGTTCGTCGGCGAGCACGCCAGTGCGCACGACGCGACCACGCGAGCTAAGCTCGGCGCCTCCGACCCCTCCAGTAGGAGGCACACTTGCTCCTGGAAATAATATAATATATTTTTTTATGTAATAAGTCGGCAAACGAGCGGACGGATTACCTGATGGTAAGCAATCAGCGCCACCCATGGACACCCGCAACGGAGGAGTTACGAGTGCGTTGCCGACCTTTTAGGGATTAGGGATTTGGAGATTTAGGGATTGGGGAAGGGTCCGGGAAGGGGAAGGATTGGGCCTCCGGTAACCTCACTCACACGGTGAAACACAACGCTGTGGTTGTTTCACGCCGGTATTCTGTGAAGCCGTGATATCACTCCAGTCGAGCCGACCCATTCGTGCCGAAGCATGGCTCTCCCACACTTCTCGCTTAAACTAATATTATAATATTATGGGCTGACTGGCAAATGTAATGTAATAATAAATCATTTATTTGCCAGTAATATGGTGAATATAAATAAGGTATGAATGCATATAAATTGGGTAGTTTCCTGAGTCAAAAATAAATTAATTCAATGTTTCAATACAATAAAATATTGAAAAATAACTTTACTTTTCTCACACAAAGAAGGTTTATCAATTATTTGCCATAATCACCACATCTGGCAGACGGGTTGTAGATACAGAAAACGCTGATAAAGGCCTTAGCAACCGAGAAGTATCACTCTCTGACAAAATTACCCATTAAAACTAAAATCCCCAACACATTTGCCAAGTATGGGGATTAGTGAAAAACTAATCTAGACGTGTCTTTCAGTTCAATAGTGGACTGTTTCACTGATAATGATGATTTTAATACATACATACCTTTAAATTAATAACGCAAGCGGCCGCGCTGACGTGTTGGGCCGTGAACTGAGCCCCAGGCGTGGTCATAGCGGTGACGTCCACTGTAGTCTTGTGACACGTAGTGATTGCTAGATCACCGAGTGCGATTAACGTCTTCAATTCAGCTTCGACATCTTTGCAGAGGACCGCTGTCGAAGAAAAATTATAATATTATAATCTATACTAGTAGCAGTAGTAGTTGATTTGGAGATTTGGAGATAAGGTGATCTTTATCTCCAAATCTCCAAATCAAAGTGTGGGAGAGCCATGCTTCGGCACGAATGGGTCGGCTCGACCGGAGTGATACCACGGCCTCACAGAAAACCGACGTGAAATAACCATTGCGTTATGTTTCGCCTTGTGAGTGAGGTTACCGGAGGCCCAATCCTTCCCCTCCCCCAATCCCTAGATCCCTAATCCCCAAAAGGTCGGCAACGCACTCGTAACTTCTCTGTTGACCATGGGCGGCGCTGATTGCTTATATATTGCTTACCATCAGGTAATATTCTGCTCGTTTACCGCCCTGTTTCCTAAAAAAACTCACCAGTTGTACTCCAGTTGTCGTGAACCCACTTCCCGAGCCTGGTAACGGCAGCGCGGACGACCAGCGTGACTAGGGGGGCGGGGGCCGACGCTAGTAGGGCCGCGACGGCCGCCTCCGACCGGCTCTGGATGGAACTGCGGCCGGACTCCAGGGCTTTGGTCCGAAGCAATTGTAGATGGTCCGTGTATATTTGCTGGGCGGCTGGGAGAAGGGAGGCCTGTCGAAATAAGGAATAATTTTTGAATTAAAGGGTGCGATGCTGATACTAAATGTCTCCACTATTTAATGGATGTTATTATACATATAAACCTTCCTCTTCAATCACTCTATCTCTTAAAAAAGATGCTCTCGCGCGGTTTCACACGCTACTCCGCTCCATTTGATCGTAGCTTCATGTCTATAGGTGAAAGAATTTTGGCAATCCGATCAGCGGTTCTAAGTATTATCCCAATACATACCAACTTACAAATTTTACCTCTTTATAATATTACTAGCTCTTACCCGCGACGTCGCTCCCGTCATTTGAGTACCTACCCTACTCTACCTACCCCTCCCTACCTATTCTACCTAGCCTACTCTATCTACCCTACTCTATGTACCCTACACTACTACCTTACTCTACCTACCCTACTCTTCGTGTATGTCCTTCTCCTGGCTATAAACTACCTCCCTGCCGATTTTCAGCTTAATCGGTTCAGCCGTTCTTGAGTTATAAGTGGAGTAACTAACACGACTTTCTTTTATATATATAGATTAGTATTAGTATAGAAAAACCGTGTCAAAAACCAGAACTCGGTCAACCGGAGTGATACCACGGCCTCACAAAGACCAGCGTGAAACAACCACAGCGTTGTATTTGCTGGGTAAATGAGGTTCCTGTAATCCTCCAATCCTCAAAACCTATAAAAGACAGTACCTAACGCACTTGTAACTCCTCTATTGATGTTCAAAGTCAAAGTCAAAATCATTTATTCCAACTAAACCATAAATAGGTGCTATTGAAACGTCAAAATAGAATAGTAGTCTGTCAGTCTGTTCGTCAGTGAAGCTAGGTGCTCATTCCAAATTATAGATTCGAGTGGAGAAGAACGAGCAAGAAACTCCATCGTTACTCTTTTAAAAAATACTAGCTATTCTTGCACGGTTTCACCCGCTGCTCGGCTCCATTTAATCGTAGCGTGATGTTTTATAGCCTATAGCACTTAGAAACATTGTAGCTATATATCAGTGAAAGAATTTTGGCAATCCGACCAGCGGTTCCAAAGATTACCCCCTACATACAAACTTACCAATTTTACCTCTTTATAATATTATTATAGATTTAACTCACTTGATCACCCTGATAATTAGAAACCATCTTGGCAACAGCTCTGCCGGCCCTCTCGCGGACCTCCGTGAGGGTATGGGCAGAGAGCTCCCTCACACACGCCGAGGTCACGCGTTCGATGACCAGTTCGAGCACACGACGCGTGGACGACGGTTGACTTTTTAATAATTCTTCTTCTAAGCGAGCCTGTAGTTCAGAAAAATATTATAAACAAAATAAAAAATAAAATTGCAAATCCGTCCTTAAACAACGGAGTGCTGAGGTAACAAACATAAAAAAAAAAAATACCATCGAATTGAGAACCTCCTCCTTTTTTTGAAGTCGGTTAAAAAAGTCGTAGGTTTATATATGTGGTGGCCCGGAGGGTTCGAAACCTGGCAAGTACCAATGTGACTTTTCCCGAGTTACATGTACTTTCTATGATTATTTAGACACCACTGACATACGGTGATAAGAAAACATCGTGAGGAAACCTGGACTTATAATTTCTAATTATAAGTTTCAAATCCCCAACCCGCCTTGAGCAAGCGTGGTGATTAATGCTCAAACCTTATCCGTATGAGAAGAGGCCTTTGCTCAGATGTAAGCACTTATAAGCTGATAGATTAATAAATGATGATGACCTACCACCGAAAACCCCACATGATGTCATAAGACCGCAGTGATACCACGGCCTCACAGAAAACCGGCGTGAAACAACCACAGCGTTGTGTTTCGCCGTGTGAGTGACGTTACCGGAGGTCAAAACCTTTCCTTCCATCCTTCCCTCCCTAATACCCAAATGCCCAAAACATCTTATTGGGCAAAAGGTCGAAAATGCTCTTGTAACTCCTCTGGCGTTGCAAGTGACCATGGGTGACGCTGATTGCTTACCATCAGGTAATCCTATCACATAAAAAAGTTATAATTCAAAAACAGTTCAAAACTAACCTGTAATTCCTTTTCTTTATTTTTAATCCTGTCTTCTGGATTCAAAGTTAAGCTGACTGGAGTAATATGGCGGTAGCTGGCCATATCCTTTTGTTCCTGCGACACTCTACATGTCGATAACAACACATTCAAATCCTTCAAATGTGGACACAACTCTATTATAACCGATTCATCGACTAAATCACAAGCGTCGACATTCAAATCGCTCCCAACACTAACGTTTAGTCGATTTTCGTAGAACAACTCTTGAGGGAAATGCGGTAAGTCGAATAACCAGCCGAGAATCGATTTCAAATATATCACCGTGTTCTTTTTTAGGTTAGTGTTATATAGTTTTAGTCGATTCGTGTGTATATCGAATAAGATTTTTAGTAGATTTTGGTAGTATGTTATTCTTAGTGATGTGTAGTCTAGCATCGATAAATAGTGGACGATCCATGGTAAAGTTATCGATAGTCGGCCATTTTCTTGTGCATTTTTTAATATGCCTAACAGATCCAGTGCGGGTTGACTCTGTAAAAATAAAAGAGAAAATTAAAAAATCTTGAGAGTTTCAAAGGGGTGGCAGAAGAAGGCTAGTAATACTGTCATTATTTTGATAATAATATATTTTTAATTAGTTTTATTGTACCTAATAGAAGTCTCGCTTACTTGAATCAAGAAAAAATAAATTCTTTATCAATTCTTTAAAAAAAATTAAAAACTTTACTTAACTCGGAAGACACACGGAAACTCAATAAAAAAAACATTAACAACGAAAAACTACTTTACAACAAAATTAACCGTAAAAACTACCGAAAACCACAAAGTATTGCCACCTTAAAAAAAACATATACATAAAAAATCTACCAAACACAAAATGTTACCAGTACAAAAAATTTAAAAACTACTCACGTAATTTCTCAAGGCTAGGTCGTTTGCTAAGACTTTTTCCTTAGGCGTCGAGTAATTAACTTCTCTACAGATCACTTTGGCTACAGTATTCTTGTTCGAAGGGTCTACTACTAGTTGAGTATACGGCAAGGACGCCAAAAGACCCAAGAACTTCGCTAAAAGACCAAGCTTTTTTGAAAGAGCTAGATACTCTTTCGTTATGTCAAAATTTGCTGAAAAAAAAACAAGATTTTAAAATTTAACTCCGAGTCTTGATAGGGCAAAAACCGGACTTAGGTATAAGTTTATGAGTCCATTGCTGAGCAAAAGCCTCTTCTCACACGGAGAAGGCAATTAAAGTGCGATTTAGCATGTAATATGAGCCCTAGTATGGCTTGAAACTAGTAGAGTTTCTCATCACTTAAGCCGTTAATTATAACAATTAATAATAGTACACTTTTTGGCTGTATGTAAGTATATATCTATACTAATAATATAAAGAGTATCAATTTGTAAGTTTGTTTGTAGGGGGTAATCCTTGGAACCGCTGGTCGGATTTCCAAAATTCTTTCACTGATAGATAGCTACAATGTTCCTGAGTGCTATAGGCTATAAAACATCACGCTACGATCAAATGGAGCTGAGCAGCGGGTGAAACCGCGTGAGAGTAGCTAGTAATATTATAAAGCTGTAGAGTTTGTTTGATTGAACGCGCTAACCTCCGGAACTACTGGTTTGAATTGAATAATCCTTTTTTTGTAAGTCCATTTATCGAGGAAGGCTATATATAGGCTATAAAACATCACGCTACGACCTGTAGGAGTAGAGTAGTGAGTGAAGCCGCGTGGTAGTAGCTATTTATGATTATTCAATAATTTAATTAATACCTTAGTATTGGCCCGGAGGTTAAAGCGCCCTCTTCTTAAGTACCAATGTGACTTTTTCCGAGTTATTATATACTTTCTATGATTATTTAGACACCACTGACATACGGTGAAGGTAAACGCGAGGAAACCTAGACTAACACCAAGGTTCCGAAGGGCCGATCAATGTTAAAATCAATTTAATCTCTTGTCAAGTCATCTGATTGGTTGACTGAATTATCAACAACCAATCAGATGACTTGACAAGAGATTTAACAGGAGATTAGTTAATTTTAGAGTTGACAAGCCTTTCAGAAAACGGGTGTTATAATTTCTAATTATAAGTTTGAAATCGCTAACCGGCCTTGAGCAAGCGTGGTGGTTAATGCTCAAACCTTCTCCGCGTGAGAAGAGGCCTCTGCTCTTATAGGCTGATGATGGTAATGAGTGAAGTTTTAATACAAAAATATACTTACAATTGCTTCTATCATCGGACGCTATATGCGTTGCATCAAGGACACATATTTCTGAAGCTATCGCGTCCCTTAAATGTACGCGAAACGATTCATTTTCAGCATTTATTATGAAATCTCTGTAATTATAATAAAACAATCGAAATTTTATTCAAACGAAGAGACGGATGACCTGATGGTAAGCCATCGGCATCGTCCAAGGACAACAGTATAGAGGTTACGAGTCTGTTGTGCCGTTGGGGGTTATTGAGAATTGGAGATTTGAGGATAGAAAAAAGGGGAAGGGAATTCAAGGGGCATCCGGTAATTTCACGCCAGTTTTTTGGTATCGTTCCTTTCGAGACATTTGGCGAATTATATTGTGGACAGTGTGATGTGATTAAAAGACTTGGATCTTAGATATTTGACTTTAACAGCACAGTACACAGTCGGGCAGCTCACTGTACCAGAGTTACATTGTCAATGGCCGACACTCTCTCGGCCACCTTATTTATAGTAATATGATGACAATGACATTGACAGTTCTAGTGCGACAATGATTAGTATTACTAATTACAGATAATACAACAGACAGCACAGTTGGCGCGGTGGCTGAGCAACTGGCTGCCGTGCAACGTGTCGCGGAGTGCATCCCACACGGAACAACTCTTTGTGTGATCCACAAATTGTTTTTCCGGGTCTGGATGTTATGTGTATGTGAAATTGTATGTTTGTAAACGCACCCACGACAAGGAAGAAGTAAATCCTAGTGTGGGGCAGTAACAGTTTTGGGTCTCCAAAACTGTAACTGACAGTTTGGAGATTGGGGAATGAAAGTCCTTAAGTGTAAATAATGTTTTATCTTAGATTATTTTAGAATTAATTGTGTTTTTGGAGGTTTCGTGCAATTATAGTATATAGTGTCTTTAATTTTATCTGGGATTTAAGTGTATTTTTTTTTTGTTTGTAAAATAGTACTTGTATGCCGGTGACGGCTTGACATAGCGTTCAATTAAGAGTACAACATTATCTGTAACTAAATAAGTATCTACCTATGTTCAACAAATAAATTATTTTGATTTGATTTGATTTGTATTTGACACTCGCTGAAAGAGTAGGAATGGTTATTCATGTAGAGTAGGACAAATTTCGGATTTTCTACCGTATCGTGCGTGCTTTTTTTAGAACGCCCCTCCCCCCTCCCCCTTCAACGCACATGTAAAAACTCCTTTGCTATTACGAGTATCCATATGGGGCGCTGATTGCTGACTTATGACGTCAAAAATACAACGAAACAGCCGTATAAGTATTATAAAGTCCACTACACTTACTTGTAAAACATTTCTTGTTGACTAAACTGTGGTAGTCGGTTTGACTCCGGCGCATTCGGACAAGTAAGGCGCCGCTGTAACTTGCTTAGCTTCGATTCCTGTGTGAAACCGAAAAAAATTGTTCACATCTTGATTGGGCTCGTGTTGCTCATAATACGGTAGTTTACCAACTAGTCAAATTCAAATACTTTTATCCAAATGTCAAAAACGATACTTTTCTATGAAATTTCAATGAAAAAAATCACTAGCTTTCGCCCGCGACTTAGTTCGCGTGGTATGGTGACTTCCAGCAGAATTTTAGTAAAAGAAAACTATCTTATATCCTTTCTCGAGTTCCAAACTATGTCTGTACCAAATTTCACAGAAATCGGTTTAGTAGTTTAGGCGTGAAGGAAAGACAGACAGACAGAGTTACTTTCGCATTTATAAAGTTTGGATGACGTCATTGTATTTTTGCGCCAAATAGCTTACTAATTTCATAAAAATCAACTAAAAAATATCTAAAATTCAGTGTATCGATCGATCGATCAATAAAAGTATAGTTATTTTTCAATATTTTATTGTATTGCAACATCGAATCAATTTATTTTTGACCTAGGAAACTACCCAATTAAGAAATATTAGAAAACATTATCCCTACCTGTTTACTTGCGGGTAAGCAGTGTTGGTACATGTGTGACGTGAAGAGATTTGCCAAATGAGCCAGGTTACATGGACCAGCTCCAGTACAGAGGAGGGTCTTAACTCTTCCCCGGAGTGAAGAACGAGACCCTCCCGATTGAGTATCTTGGTACCACCTGAAAAATAAAATTATCATTAGCCCATCATCAGAATATAAATGGGTTGCGGGGTAAGCGCAATGAAGCACCGCGACCTCGGCCTAAAGCAGGAGAAGGAACGGGAGGTTTTTTTAGTCAGTAAGAGTCTGACACTCCCTCCTGCCCGACCCTGTTAGGGAGAAGTCATTTGATGATTTTTCAAAAAAAAAAAAAAAAACAGTCCGTAAGTGCCCACTGCTGGGCAAATGCCTCTTCTCACACGGAGAATGTTTGAGCATTAATCACCACGCTTGCTCAAGGCTGGTTAGCGATTTCAAACTTATAATTAGGAATTATAAGTCCAGGTTTCCTCACGATGTTTTCCTTCACCGTATGTCAGTGGTGTCTAAATAATCATAGAAAGTACATGTAACTCGGGAAATGTCACATTGGTACTTCGGCACGAATGGGTCAGCTCGATCGGAGTGACACCACGGCCTCACGGAAAATCGACGTGAAACATCCACAGCGTTGTGTTTCGCCGTGTGTTTGAGGTAACCGGAGGCCCAATCCATCCCCTCCCCCAATCCCTAAATCTCCAAATCCCTAATCCCCAAAAGGTCGACAACGCATTTAACACTTCTGTTGTTGCAGGGAGTTCCATGGGCGGCGCTGATTGCTTACCATCAGGTAATCCGCATGCTCGTTTGCCGAAGTAACAAAGAAAAAAAAACTTGCTCTACAAATACTTAATTTAGGGCTGATTTTTCAATGGTTAGATAAAAGATACATGGGGAATAATTATGATGCTGTCGCGTCACAATGTTTGTATAAGACAGTGACAGCAATTTTATTCCTCGGATAACATTTATCTGACTATTGAAAAATCAACCCTTAATATTTTTAAAGTTACTAACCTCCAAATTTCATAAAACATATCCCGTTGCTTTTTAAACGTTTGAAAACTTAGCATCGAAGGGAAATTATCGATATTGTCCGTCTCCGAGTTGAAACACACCACTCCGTTAGATTGCGACTCGGTCTGTCTCGACTTATCCTGATTGTTTTCGGCTTCACAACGGAGCCCGTAGCAATTGAGGAGGAATTTTGCCAAATCCGGGTAGAAGCTACGGACCTTTTTGTTTTCACCTGTAAATAATTAAAAATAATTTAGTACTCATATTGTTTTTTTATTTGATTTAAATTACTAAGTTCGAATTTGAACAATTTTTTTAGCATTGTGTTCATTTATTGTGGAAAGATGTTTCTTGCTACTTTTTTTGTCGGGGGAAAATCATCAAATGACTTCTCCCGCACTCCCTGGGTAAGGCTCTTGCTGACTAAAACTCTCCCGTCCCATCTCCTGTTTTAGGCCGAGGCCGCGGTGCTTTGATACATTGAGTTTACCCGGCTACCCAGTCATTTCTATTCCAGCTGGGTTTTGGAATAAAGACGACATTGACGACTTGGATGGGGCGAGAAAAGTAATTTGATGACGTAAAATCTTAAAAAAAAAGAAAGCTAAACATAACGCTACGACCAAATGGAGATGAGTAGCGGGTGAAAACACGAAAAACTGGTATTCAAAAAGCAATCTAAGTTTGGGAGAGCCAAAATTCGACCCGAATGGGTCGGCTCGACCGGAGTGATATCACGACCTCATAGAGAACCGGCGTGAAACAACCACAGCGTTGTGTTTCGCCGTGTGAGTGAGCCAACCTTTAAATGTCAGAAATCTCTATCCCTAAAAGACCGGCAAAGCACTCGTAACTCCTTTGGCGTTGCGGGTCTCCATGGGCGGCGCTCATTGCTTACCATCAGGTAATCCGTCTGCTAGTTTGCCGACCAATTCCATCAGAAAAAAAAAATACATACCCAAAGTCTTCAAAGAACTTTTATCGAGTATAACTTCCAAAATAACACGTTGGTGCCACAAGGATTTGACGGCAAAATATGTACTATTGTGTATAGTTTTCAATAAACATCCCATATCATTGTCTTTTAACTTATTCTGCGCTAAAATATAATCATCTTCCAACTGTTTTGATATCAAAATGGATATCAAAAAATATATTTCCGTATTCAAACTCAATATGAGATTGTTAGTCATCAAGATTTTATAGATTTCCACCAACAAATCAAGTTTATCTTTAAAAACAACCTTTGTAACATCACTCTTAATGAAACTCTGGCATTTTTCTATCGAGTTCTTTTGAGTTATTTTAATTTGAGGTGTGGCTATGACCTTTTGCGGGGACGAAGTGTTTAAAATGTTAAATTTCTCCATTAACTTATGCCTTTCTTGCTTCAAAAAATTTCTTTCTGCTTCAAAACTGTTTGTTTCTTTAACCTGTATCCGCTGCTGCTTAAACACAGAATTCTCCTCGACCAAGGACGGTGACGTTTGTATAGATTCCGCACTAAAACTGTTCAAAGAAATGCTTTTCTGTGACTTATCTATATTAGTGGGTTTTATCCTTCGTTTCTCGGACCTCAAAGAACTGGCTTTCCTAGCACCAATTTCAGGAAACATGTCCGAACTAGTCAAATCCAATTCCGGTTTAGCATCATCGTTTTCAGTAGAACTCCTCCCTTTTTTCTTTTTACTACTCTTCGTTACATTCACAATGTAATCTCCTAAACAGCTTTTCTCCTGTGACCTTGAATGCCTGTGACTCAAACGAGGAGTATCACATCGTTCATACTGTTCTTTGACAAAACTTCTTGGAGTTACCGGGTTGGGAGTGACCGGACTACTGAGGGATAAGGTGGGGTAATCGGAAGGTTTAATGCCATTCTTCATTGGTGTACTTGATAGTATCAGTTTGTCTACTCCAGTACTAAGTCTCGACTCGTCCGAGGATGCCGATTGATTAATTGATTTTTCTTCGTTAAATAATTTAGTTTTCACTCTTCTACCGGTTCTTTTACGGTCTTTGCTTGGTGATTCGTGGCTCCGTTGCCTGTCTGTTTTGACTGATAAACTGTCCATCGTTCGGTCTTCACTGGTAGGGTCACTGATGGATCTCCGGTGCTTCCTTCGTGTACTGAGAAGCTTTTCCGGTGTACTGTGTTGGAGTATTTGTACTGCATTGCTGTTTGTTTGTAGTATGCTAGAAAAAGAATTATACAATATTATTTACTTTGTTGAAATAATGAATTTATTTTTGCTAATTAGCCATAAGACAGAACTTTTACACATCTAAATTGTATAACGGGCAAGATCATATTACTGTGACACTGGGGGTTTTTGATCTAAACATTAACCAAAAATAATGCAGAATGAAAAATATTCTTCTTCATATTTATATTTGTTTTTCATTGGTTTGGAAATTTAACGAGCCAGAACTAGACAAAGCCGGCATTTCTTATCTGATGACTCTAAAAAGAAATATCAAAACAAATTCAGAGCATGTCTCTTTAAAATAAATTGTTTGTTATCCTTTATAATAAATTTTATTTAATTAAAATAAAATATGGATAGGATCTGAATGAAAATGAGCATAACTACACCCTGGTAACGCAGGCAAAAGGTAATAAAGAATGAATGAACAATTCTTTCATAGTTCAATGAATACAGACTATAAAAAGGTGAGAGCAACCTTGCCCAAGGTTAATTATCTTTTTCTATACATTTCTAAAAACTCAACAGACCGAACAGATAGAAAAAGTTATACTTGTGGTCGATATATTATCTTTGATATATCTATACTTCTACTTCTTCATCTATATTAATATTATAAAGAGGTAAAATTTGTAAGTTTGTATATAGGGGGTAATCTTTGGAACGGCTGGTCGGATTGCCCAAATTCTTCCACTGATAGATAGCTTCAATGTACCTGAGTGCTATAGGCTATAAAACATCATGCTTCGATCAAATGGAGCCGAGCAGCGGGTGAAACTGCGTGAGAGTAGCTAGTTGTTTTTATAACAATTAACACATTCAGTGCCCCCGACGCGTATGTGCGTTTAAGGAAACGCACATACGCGTCAGGGGCACTGAATGTGTTAAGAGTGTGATTTGTCGAGTGAGTGAGGTTACTGGAGGCCTTATTTTCGCTATTCTCAATCCTCAAATCCCCTAAACGTACATCCATAATAACCAACAAATGGTTGGCAATGCACTAGTAACAACTCCTATGGAATTACGAGTGTCCATGGGTGGCACAAATTGCTTATTATCAAGTAATCCGTAAGCTTGTTCGCCAACCTATCCCATAAAAACAGAAATTAAATTTAAAAAACCCATGACAAAAGTCTAATATTCTTTTAAAAAGTAATAATTAAAAGAAATTGTGGTGTTGGGGGACCAATTTAAACATTTTATTATCAACTACATATTTCTATTTTGTCAGGGGTCTAATTTATTTTTTTTATGTTATACCTACTTTTATAGGTATTTTATATAATTTTCTCTCGATTAAGTCATCAAAATTCCCTTTTAGTGCGCTTTTATTAGAGACCCCACTCGAGTATATTTGCATTCGGTTACCCTTCCAGACTTACTCCCCCATAACTTCTAAACGGATCAATCAATTTTTGTCAAACATGTCTAAGAACACTTGCGTGTAAGTCACCTGTAATACAAAAAAAAAACTAAATTGAAATCGCTTCACCCGTTCAGGCTCCAGGATGCCACAGACAGACAGACATGTCAAACTTATAACACCCCTCTTTTTGTGTCAGGGGTTAAAAATTACCCAATACATTGGATGTAATCATTGCTACAGAGTATACAGTTGCCCTCTTATTTGGTATGCAGGTACAAAAACAAGATTGTTTCAGTGGAGAGACAGTAATAGTTTGTCTACTGAGCCGAGCAATGGTAACAGAATATTATGTCTTCATTAAACACTTTATAATTTAGTGTAAGTATAGCTACTGGCTCTGAACTAAGTCTATCTTTCTTTCTAACCTGCATACCGAATAAAATTTAATCAGGTTGATGATAATTCTCTAGCTAGGGAATTTCCTTTTGTATGACTATGGTTTCAATGTAAGTAGGTTAGCACTGAATTTAAACAATATTATTTATCATCAATCTTACTTAATTTTAACTAGGGATCCCATGCCCAGCCCATGATCTTGATCTAAGCAGTTACGATAAAAACTAAACTTATTATTAATAAATAAATAACATTAATTTAATTCATTGAGACTTGAATAGCAATCCATATTGTTACCGAAATAATACATCTAAGAGCAACTCATCTATTAAATAATTCATTAATAACCTTCATAGAGGTTGTAACATGTCAATGAACTTAAAAATATCGACCTAGTGCCCCAAAAAGTTAAGATTCTTTTGTTACAAAATCCAATGTTTACAAAATTTCAAAGACACTTACCTATCCGTTTGAGTCCTCAAAAACGATAAAAAACACGTCACAAAATCATTCTTGTTACAGCAATTCAATATACAGTCTTCAGATGTATCCTAAAAACATAAATAACATGAAAATACTGCAAAAATATGCTTCGATTTTCATTCACTTTTAGGTTATGATTTTACCTCTAAGGATTCGTCGTTTAACCATTTTATCAATAACTTCGAGTCTAGTTTGCCTGTAAGGACACTTTCTATAATTGTTTCTGGCATTTTGATGTTTTAACATAGAATTAAAACGATTTTTCAAGAAAATATTGATTTTTGGCAGCTGCGCGCTCAAACTTCAGCAAGGGTGCCATTTTATTGTTGCCATAACAAAGATTCGCTTACGTCAAACTAGGGATTCGCTAGAATCATAGAGTAATAGAAGCAATAATTTGAGAATGATTCTAGAATAATAACAAACGATTAATTCAAGCGATGCATCTCATTTTTCGAATTATTTCAAGATTATTTTTATTATGATATCTACCTTAATTATACTCTGACTAAAATTGACCTTATCTCGGCAATGATGCAACAGTTCAATTAGTAACTTTCAAACTGTACATCACTAAAACTGTCAAATGTGTTCGAAACGCAACCATGTTAAACAAACTCATGAAAATCTCGATGTTTAACCAAAACTCGTAACTAACTTTACGAAATTCATAGAAAAACGCGGTACCAAATGCGAGTTACGTGGTAATCGAAAATATATAGTAGCGGTTTCCCTTCTATTGTTAATTTTTGCGGTACTAAAATGCATTTCGTTGGAAATCAATTTTTAATATAAAGTAAATAAATATAAATTAAATATTGCTGGAAAAATGTCTGTGATATGGAATACTAGTGGCTTATGCCGTTGCTGCCACGCTGAAGGCAATTTCAAAGGCTTAAATGAATATTCAAACGAATTATCGGAGGATGATTGTTATGTTCTGATAAAAGACACGTTTGATATTATTGTGAGTAAATTATTTATTTTTTACTGGAAAAAAAAGGTTTCGAATTCGAATTGACCAATCGCGAAATCGTTTGGTGTTTGTTCAATGTTTATTATCTCATACAAACCTGTTAAACAGATTACGATAAAGTTAAGGATGAATTTTATTGTAATAAAATACGTAGACTATATTTTGTTTTATCTCTGTAACACAAGGAAATGTAAAAAAATGCCTGCCATAGTAATAACGGACACTTAAGATTTTTTGTTATGGTTAATTTTTATTGTTAGAGCAATAGTTTTATAATACTTAACTTATCCTCAAAGGTAAGACAATCAGATTATAATAAGGTTTACCACGAGATATCCTTTGGTGAATATAAGCAGTTGGCCTTCCTTAATGACTCCCTATCCTATTAGAACTTCTTGAAATAAACAAATCAAAATACAGTAGCACCTTTATGTTACCAACACTGGCGTCTATCAGTGACTTTGTCAATAATTCAAGGATAAAAAGTACCCTGTAATTCCAGAGAATAACATATCTAGACCACCACAGACGGCCCTATTGGGCTGATGTTCAGCCCGGGTTGCGGGGTAAGAGCAATGAGGTACCGCGACCTCGGCCCCAAAGTCAGTAAGAATCTGACACTCCCTCCCGCCTGGCCTAGGGCTGGGAGAAGTCATTTGATGATCTTCCCCTCACAAAAAAAAAGATTATAACTTATCTATGTGCCATATAGCATGTTCAGTGTTATAGTGGACTGTTAAGTATATGTTAAGTAAGTTAAGTAGTATATGTTATTACTAACCTCTCTCCTTTTAATCATGATAATAAAAAGTCTCTATCAGCGACTTAATCTGCAGTATGCGGGTAAAATATGTGTGCCTTGCGCTATTCCCGACTATCTCTGCGCCAAATTTCATTCAGATCTGTTCAGTAGCTTATGTGTTCAAAAAAAACATTAAAAGGCAACTGTAGGTTTCATTAACTTAAATACTAATTACCTTTTTTATTCCAATGTGCAGCTCCATCCGATACCAAACTCAAGAATCCAGGTATGTGGTGTATGTGGCCCTCGTCTGAATGATGCTGTCCTGTTTAAGAAGCAGGTGCTACAGTGTGAGGACAAACTAAGACAGTATGTGTATGGTTGTGAATTAAAAGGTATGAATTAACTATAATTATTTTATTTAGTAATGCCGAAACGGCGTCAATATTTTTATAGTCCCGAGGCAAGGACGCGTGGAGGGTCAGTGCTGAAAACCAGCGCTGTTGTATCATGCCTGTGTGCGTGAGACACAGCATTTATGCTGAGCGCTGCCCTTTTTCACGCATGAGTGACGCAATTGTAGTGCTTTTCTTTTTTTTTTTCTTTTATGTTCATTGCTTGTTTTGTCCCTCTAACTATATTCGTGTATGTTTGTTTCTTGCGTCATTTGTGTGTGAAATAAATGGTTTTTCTTTCTTTCTTTCTTTTTCTTTCTAACTATAATTATATAGTTTTTCAGTAGAATAGCTACTACAATATCACAACAATTTTTTTTTTTTGGCAACTGAGTGTCCAAATCACTACAAATTCTATAACAACACCATTGACTGACACCTTTGATTGCACGGTTGGTGCAGTAGCTGGGCAACTGGATGCCGTGCAACATATCACAAGTTCGATTCCGCACGGTATCACTTTTTGTGTGATCCACAAATTGTTGTTCAGGGTCTAGGTGTTATGTGAAATTGTATCTTTGTAACCACACCCAAGACAGGAGAAAATCCTAATGTGGGGCAACGTTTTTTTGTGTATACCGACCTCCCAAACCATATTATGATGACCATGAGTTTTCCCCCCGGACCCTGGTTGCCATTCCGTCAAAAATTTGCTCCATTTGCCATCCCCTGCTTCAAAATGCTTCGCGGTTCGCCCAGCCCATCAACTCTGGTCGGAAAATCCTTACAGTAATGAAATTTTTGTGTTACTGTAGTGAGAACCATGTTTTTTTTGGACAGGACTACTGACTACGTCATTTAGCATCCATGGACTAGCGTCGTTTACTTAACCGAAAGTAAACTCGAGTGCTTGTATAATACGGTAGTTTCCAACAAGTCTTCTTCTTCTTCTTCTTTTTGTTTATGGCTCCTTCGTCATTCGAAGATTTTGCCAACTTCGAGGTAGGAAATGACACTGTGATCGGTGTAAAAAAAAAAACGAAAGTAATGTAGGTAACTAATGACCGGTAATCAGTGATGTTTGTAGTGCTGGAAAAGGACAAAACAATTTGTTAGTTTTAACGACACAAGGGTTAAGACACAAAACGAAGGGGAGTGGAAAGTAGATGTTTAGGTTAAAACTAAATGAAGAATAAGGAAAGGGAATATGTTATAATAAGGAAAATGTAAAAGACTATGTACAAAGACAAGTGTTAAAGTCGGATGTGATTTATATTGATAAATTTGTATAGGATCTTTACCATGGGGGAATGGACTAGGGTTAATAGGAATGGGATATTTATTGGACGGGGGATATCATTAGGGAGGAGATCATAAAGAGGGGTAGTCAGGCGAGGACATGAAAAAAATAAGTGTTCCAGAGTACCCTCTTCCAAACCACATTCACAGATAGAATGATCTCTTACTCTGATTTTAGCTAGAAAGACAGGTGAGCATACAAAACCTAGCCTTAACCGAATGATGACAGAGGTAGTTAATTTGTCAAGGTGTTTGTATTTGCCAAACCAGGTTTTATGGGGAATAGACGGTTGGATAGTGCCGAAGAATTTGCCTTTGACTTTTCGTGTCTTTTGCCAAAGGGAATCCCAACTCTTCGTCATAGCGGGTTTGGCAGTACAACACAGATCCCGAGGAAAACAAATTTTGAGGTAAGAGTCCACACCGCAGTGAATTGCTGCCTTGGCAAGCGAGTCAGCGTTATCATTGCCCACAATTCCTGAATGACTAGGGATCCAAGCAAGAACAACTTGTATACCTGACGTGTGGCATTTATATAAAAGCTGCTTGATCTGGAGGATTAGAGGGAAATTATAACGAGAGCGAAAAGGGGATTTAACAAGGTCCTGCAAACAACTTAAAGAGTCCGAAAGAATTAAAGTTTTGTTTAGACTGTGGGATTCCGCATATTTGACCGCTTCTAATAAAGCGATTGCTTCCCCAGAAAAAATAGAGGACTGAGAAGAAACTTTAAAATTTAAAATAATTTTATATTTTGGTATCCAAACAGCAGCACCCACAATACTGTCTTCTGAAATTTTGGACGCGTCTGTAAACATAGTGAGCCAATCTGGCCAGTCCTCCGTTAAAATCTTATTTAACTTGTTATTGGCACCGGGGTCGTTTTTGCAAATGCCAAGACTAAAAATAACCTTTGGTTGAAAAATCAGTGATTCGAAACTAACTTCAAAAAGCGGGTTGAAATTAGACTGGCATAAAGAGATGGGCAAGTCCTGGATTGATCGGAAACTATTAACAAGACGAGGGGGATCTTTGTGCGACCAGTAGCGGGAAGACTGGACTAGTTCACAGAGAGTTAGTAAGAGGGGAAGAAGGGGGTGGGATTTGATTTGGATGACTTTGAAAAAAAATCTGTCTGCGAGGAATTGTCTGCGTAAGGAAAGAGGAGGATCCAGGCATTCAACCTGTAGGGCATTTGAGGGAGAGCATTTCATGGCACCTGTTATGATTCGAAGGCATTTGGCTTGAATTTTGTCCAATTTATACATAGCGATTTTGTTGCATGGCTCCAAAAGAAAGCTGCCATAGTCGAAATGACTTCGCACTATGGCATTATATAAAATTTTTTGGGTGGCAGGGTGAGCGCCCCAGCGAACCCCCGAGAGAGCACGTAAGACATTAAGATAAGATAAGATAAGATAAGATAAGATACGTTTATTTGTCAGATAACATGTGTTTACATACAAAATTGAGCATGCAAGATCTTATAAGAATCAGTCAGTCCGTACATGTTTTACCTGATAAGGTGTACAAATATTATTTTTACAATTAGGTTCTTTTTTTTTTTTTTTAAACTGGACATTACTCTTTTTGTCTAAGTATGTTTGTATAATTGTATTACCAATCCATTTTTAACATAAAAGAAGCAGTGCTATGACTAACATAAGTTATAATTATGTAAAAATTGTCTGTTTACCAATAATATAAGTTTGTCACATTCACGTTTGGTCTCACAATTAGTTAAATTGTCAATAGTTAGGTTAAAATGAAGAAAAATAATAATAATAATAATAAAAATGTCAAAGAACATCTATATCCAAGGCTAAAATATGTCATTGTTTCATTGTTACAAAAAAGGTCTACAAGTAAAAGTATGTCAAAAATGTATCACGTAACACAAACAATACTTTTGTCGAAAAATGAAAACATGTCAAATAATACAAACTTTGTCAGATATAGGTATCACATGTCAAAATACGTCCATCAAAAAGTCATAAATACTGTAATAACATTTGTCTGTTAATAAATTTCGGATCTTCTTTTTAAATGAATTAATACTCAGCACCTTATAAGACTGGGGTATTTTGTTGTAAATCTTGGGTGCCATACAAAATAAGCTTTTCGACATTAGCGCAGTCCTTGACGAATGCAAACATAATTTACTATTATTGCGTCGGTTGCGGGGGTTCGTGTCTGATAATAAAGGAAATAAGTGGGGATTACTTTTAACAAATGACAATACTTCAAAAATATACATTCACGCCCTTTTCGCATTTTTTACTAATGTAATCGAGATGATGGAGGCCAGATAATTTTGAGTCCAGAATTATGCCAAGGAATTTAACTTTGTCACAGATCAAAATGGTTTCATCTTCAATATATAGATTAATAGGGGGGATATTACGTTTACGTGAAAATACTACAGCGTTACATTTGGGGACAGATAGGGATAGGCCATGATCATTTAACCATTGGTTTAGATAGAACAAAGCAGAATTCAAGCGGGAAGAAGCCTCTGTAAGAGAGGACGAACTGAAATAAAGAGAAATGTCATCTGCGTATTGAAGGATTTTACAGAAACAGCTAATTGAGGATTCTAAGTCGTGGGTATAAACATTATAAAGGAGAGGGCTTAAGACCGAACCCTGGGGTAGGCCTTTCCAGACTAAGCGGGGTGAAGAGATGGAATTTTGATGTCGAATTGATATATAACGAGACATTAGCAAGCTGCAAGTGATGTTAACCAGCCTCACAGGGACACTCAGCTGATGCAGTTTCTGCCTGAGTATTGGAAGTTGGACATTATCGTAAGCTGACGTTATATCAAGGAAAACGCCCAGGACGCTTTCGTTTTGAGAGAAGGGAATTCGAACATCAGAAGTGAAGATGCTCAGACTGTCTAGGGTACCCCTTCCTCTTCGGAACCCAAATTGGGAAGCGGAAAGTATGCCCCTGGACTCTAAAAACCATTCCAACCTGTTCTTTATAAGGTTCTCCGCGATCTTAGCTAGAACAGAAGATAAAGCGATGGGTCTGTATGAAGAAGAATCTTTTGGATCTTTGCCAGGTTTTAGGATCGGGATAACTATTTGGAATTTCCAAGATTCCGGGATGAGGCCGGAGAGGAAGAAGGAGTTGATAAGGGCAAGGAATATTTGTTTGCAAACAGGAGAGGATTTACAGATGAAGGAATACGGGATGCCGTCTATGCCCGGGCTGAGTCCCGAAGATGTTCCAAAGCAAAAGACAACTCAGAGAGAGAGAATGGATGATTAATATTGGAAAGTGATCACTGCCATATGAGTATGGCAGGACAGACCAGGAAAGAGTAGAGACTAGGGAAGGAGACGCAAGTGAAAGATCAGGGACACTAACATTTTGAGTAGGGGAAACCCTACGTGTTGCTGAACCATCATTGAGGACACAGAGATTTAGGTCATCTAGGAGATCTAATAAAAAACTGGATGAGGGGTCATTGATGGGAGAACCCCAAAGCGTGTGGCGGCAATTAAAATCACCTAACACCACCAAAGGGTTAGGGATAGCAGAGAGGATGGAGTTAAATTCAGATAGAAGGTTGGCATTAGGGTGAGGAATGTAAGCAGAAACAAAGGAAATATCCATGGCTCTGATGGCAACAACATGAAGTCCGGGAGAGTGAAGAGGAATGAGGATTTGGGAAAAGGAGATAGACCTACTGATCAGCAAGGCGCATCCCGCCCGCCCATCGTCTCTATCGTCTCGGAGACACGAGAACCCAGGGACTCTGAAGGGGGATCCAGGTCTGAGCCATGTCTCCGACACCGCAAAGAGGACAGGAGTGTAGCGGTTTATTAGATGCAGTAGGTCGTGTTTTTTTTGGCGGATGCTTCTACTGTTCCATTGAAGGATCTTGGCCATTCTTTCGGGACCAGGTTTGGAGCAATTGTTCAATAAGGACTAAGACATTGTTCGGTAGAGCGTCACTAAATTTAGAGAGAATATTAATGAGGGAGCAAAATAATAACTCGATTAGATTGTCATTAGGGGTAGGAAGAGGAGTGGAATCCGTAAACGTGGGATCTTTAAGAGCACAGCCGTTGGGCTGGGAGGAGTTGGGGGAAGAAACAATCGTCCTATGAGCTTGGACGTCGTAAGACTTGCCCAGTGCGGGTCTAGATCTAGGGGAACGGAATATGGTCTTGGTATAGGATGTTTTGGAGGGAGAAGTAAAAGGAGAGGAAGAAGTTGGGGGAGGAGCTGTAAATAGTTGGGAGAAATTAAGAGAAGGAGCCTGGGACATTTGGGTTTGTGGAATGTTCGCAGCAGCGTCGGAGTAGGACCGTTTAGAACGGGGAAATCTAGTAGATGCCTCACTATAGCTTAAGTTCTCTTCAGACATAACCATTTTAATGGATTTCTGTCTGGAGTGCTCGGGACAGAGATCATCTGTAGCCTTGTGGTTACCACCTTCACATAGAATACATGTAGCTTGTGAGTCGGGGACATTGCATGTATCACCAGGGTGTGGCTGGGCACATTTGAAACAGCGGGGTTTCGACCGGCATTGAGTGCGGATATGACCGAAGCGTAAGCAGTTGCGGCACTGAATTGTAGGCAGATGGTAAATTGAGACAGGGAGAGAGGCGTTGTAGCAATAGACCTTCTCTGGAAGTGTTTGCCCAGAGAAAGTCAAAACTACGGTGGAAGAAGGCGTCCAATAAATTGAGTCTTCCTTTTTATTTTTAAAATTGAGGCGTCTAGCTTTGATAACTTCCCCACAATTTTGAGGAGTTTCTATTCCCGAAACTAAGTCCTCCAAGGTCCAGTCAGTAGGAATATTCCTCACTATACCCATACGGGTTACTTGAAAGCGAGGAATCTTAGCTGTGAAATTGTTGGCGGAAAGGATATCATTATCTGCAAAGGAGTTGGCATCAATGGCAGATTTAAACTCAATAGAGAGCTTATAACGGCCTAAAGATTTGATTCCTCCTTCTGTGATTCCCTTGATGTTGTTTTTGTGGAGTAATTGCGCGAACTTTAAGACTTTTAGCGTTGAGCCAGCAGCAGGATCAGGTTCTATTTTCGACACAAAAACAGTAAAGGGTGCTCTGTCACACTCATTGTAGGAGAGCTTGGAGTTTGTTTCAAAGCCGGGCTTCGTAAAAACAGATTGAATTGAGTCAGACGGAGGTCTGTTTTTCTTAGACTCAATATTCGAGTCACAATCAGCAGGTCGTTTTAGGGTGGATTTAGTCTGTTGGCTTGCACCAGAAGCTAAAGAACTATTCATTTGAATATCCGGAGGGGTTCCTCCACCCCCATCAGGGGGTTCCTCGGCACTCATTTCGTGAGAAATGAGTCTCACAGGAAAAAGAAATCTTATACCTACCTTATAAATAACCGTCACCAGGCAACAAAACAAAGACAACACTAAGAACTAATTTGCAAAAACAGAATTTGAGGTTAAGTAAACACACCGTGTCAAGACCAAACCTCCAATCTACAACTAGTCAAATTCAATACTTTTATCCAAACGTCAAAAACGATACTTTTTTATGAAATTTGTATGAAACTGAGTTAGGACGTCATAACATTTTTGCGTCGAATAGCTTACTTATTTCTTAACAATTAGATAAAAAATTCTAAAACTTATTGTATCGATCGATCGATAAATAAAAGTACCTATAGTTATTTTCAATATTTTATTGTATTGAAACGTAGAAATACTTGATTTTCGACCTAGGTAACTACCCAATTTTTAGGCTATTTTTATTTCATTATTGAAGGTGTCATCAAATACACTTTTAATTTTGACCAACGCTCTGGCTTATCTACCCATGGCACCGGAAAAAAAACTAGAATTTTTCCTGTGTCGTGGGTGCGGTTACAGACATACAAATTCACATACACATCACACCCAGACCCGACACAACAATTTGTGCATCACACAAAGAGTTGTTCCGTGCGGGAAAAGAACCCGCGACACGTTGCTCAGTAGCCCGTTGCCGGCCACTGCATCAACCGTGCAGTCATTTTAAACGGACATATTGAAGACCTGATAAAAATAAGTGTTACAAGTAAAAAAGATTTAGGAAAATAACTATGGCTTTGTAGGCATCTGTGAAAAACTAGATGATATAGATCCGAAGTGCCTACAAATACCTACAAAATTATGACATTCTTTGTTTTTCTTTTCAGAGGCTGATATTTTGCAGAAAGATATAAAAGATGAGTTTGTTCAAGATGGTGAGTTGAGCACGAAATAAATGTATTATCGGCGTGGCATGTTGTCACTGAAAAACTAAAAAAATAAATTGAAGTCGGTTCATTTGTTCAGGAGCTATGATGCCACAGACAGACAGACACGTCAAACTTATAACACCCATGTTTTTGCGTCGGAGGTTAAAAAAATAAAATCTGTCAGTCTGTTTGTGATGTTAGATGCCCATTTCAAAGGGTAGCCTCGAATGGATAAGAAAAAGATAAAAAACTCCATCGTTACTCTTTTAAAAATGTATGTTTTACAATTTATTTTTTTTGGACATAGAAAACTACCCAATGTCTCATCACTAACTTTTAAGCGTACATTTGACAGCAACGCGGCTTAACGCGTTTTTTTTTTCAAGTTAGAAATTTAAAACAAACTTACCATATCATTATGCCAGTAGAGGCTAGGGGCTCGATCGGTATCCTTGGGGATAGTCGCGTATGTTTTTTTAGATTAGATATTTACTAAGCTTCAATGATCTTCCGGCGGCGGTATTCCTAAACCGATACGACCTTCAAACCTTCAAGAAACTTTTAAAAGGCCGACAATGCGTGACTCCTCTGGTGTCGCAGATATCCATGGGCGGCGCTGATCATTCACAATCACATTTTCTTTAAAAAAGCTTCTTTTTTAAACTTTTTTTTTAAATATTTTAGAACTGAAAGAGGAATCAATTAATGATGCAGCTGAAGACGGATTGGAAATTAAATATAATGGTAAGAATTTACTTTCTTTCTATAATATCAGATTTTTTTATCCCCAAAAGAGGTTGTGGCGAATGGACTGTATAAATATTATAAATTGAGACTCGATAGCTTGATTATGGATTTTTAATTAATTTACAAACTTTTACACAAAACATAAGAAATTTTAGAGTTTTTTATACGTAACAAGGTGGTGACACTTTTAAACCCAAAACTGTTTGACTGACTGACGATGCGCATCGCCATGGTCTGGCGTTTTATAGACGCTGACATGCGGGGGGCGTGGTTTGGCCAATGGCGATGCGTGGAGCGACCGAGCCGCGAGAACGTGTTTGTACTTGTCTGGGCTCGTGGCTCCGCGGCTCCGTTGCCCTACTACTAACGGGTTTATAGTCGTTTTGAACAGGTTTAAACCAAACAAAGACAGGTAAGTAACGGCGTGCGGCGCCGCTACGTCTGTGTTATGATTCCGTGGCGCGGTGGCGCGCCGCTCTGGCTACGTAATGATTCTGTCGTGCACACTTCTCCCGCCGTCGCCTTCAGGCGACTCCGTGGGGAGCACGACGATGCGCTTCGTTGGTCTTCGTAGTACGAGTCCTCTGGTCATGACGTCTACAACTCGTATTTCTCCATCCGCGCCTGGCAACACCTGCGTCACCCTTCCCTTAGGCCAGGTGTTGCGTGGAAGGTTAGAGTCGCAGATCACGACGACGTCTCCAACTTTGGGTGGGGTACCACTACCGTAGGGCTCCCGCCGGTTTTGAAGGAGCGGCAGGTACTCACGTACCCATCTTCGCCAAAAGACGTCTGCAAGTGCCTGGGCGCGCCGCCATTGGTGCCGTGCTGTAATGTCCGCTGCAGTGAAATTACCCGGTGAGGGTACATGTGGGTTAGGGCCGATCAAAATATGATTAGGCGTGAGGGCTTCTGGCTCATCCGGTGACACGTTGACGTGCGTGAGTGGCCTGGAGTTCACCGTGTTTTCCACTTCTGCGAGTAGCGTGGCCAGGGTCTCGTCAGACGGGTGGACTTCCTTCAGTGTGACGTACAGCGCTTCCTTGACAGCCCTCACCATTCTTTCCCACGCTCCTCCCATAAACGGTGCCGCGGGAGGTATGTACTTCCAACTTATGGACCGCGCATTGGACTCACTACCTAAAGCGCTTAAGGCGCTTTCACCTAGCTCCCTATCTGCCGCTTTGAAACAGGTAGCGTTGTCGCTCCATATCTCTTTGGGAGAACCTCTCCTAGCTATAAATCGCCTAAGGGCTGCGATAGCTGAGTCTGCACTAAGCGAATTAGCTATTTCTATGTGTATTGCTCGACACGTTAAACAGGTAAATAAAGCTCCGTATCTTTTTTCCTTATGCCTACCTACAGAAACCGATATGGGTCCAAAATAATCTAGTCCAGTGAAAGTGAAAGGACGTGCATGATGAGCTAAACGGGGGTACGGTAGGTTACCCGTAGACGGGTTAGCAGGCTTCGCCTTTTTTATTTTGCAATATAAACAGCCCTTAATTACATTTTTTACCGACGGACGTAGTTTTGTAATCCAAAGACGCTGTCTTATCTCATTTACTGTTATCTCGGTCCCGCCATGATGTAAACTTTCATGTACGTATGCTATGTATAGCTTGGTATACCTGTGCTTACCCTCAAGTATAATAGGGTTTTTAATTTCTTCATTTACGTCTTGTACCGCTGTGATTCTCCCGCGCAAACGTATAACGCCTGCGTTGTCTAGGTATGTACTTAGTACTGATAACGGACTGTCGCCGGGCGTCGGTTTGTTTTCCTTAATGGCGGCAATTTCTTTTGAGAAGCTTTCGGCTTGCGATCCCTTTATCCATTGTTCCTCGGCGCGTTGTATATATGAAGCAGGAATAGGTATGTAGTTTACAGTTTTATTATTTATCATATTTTGCGTAAATTTTTTAACGAGTTTATTTTTGTGTGTTCTTTTCCATGTTGGATCTTTTGTTGCCTTTTTCTTAGTGCATTTATATTCGACAGTATGTTTACTTGGTTTACACAGGTCAATGAACTGAAGTAGTCTTGCAGTTGTTCTTATCAGTCGTGTCCATTTGGAAAATCGAGTAATATTGGGGAGGTGATCGTTCATTGTCGTGTTGTTGATCACATGACATTTGACGCGTTCTTCGCCCGTGTCCGTGAGGGCAATGACCTTTTTATTTTGTGGCCATTCTTTTCTACTTTTTCTAAGGAACTCGGGGCCGCGAAACCATCTGTGTTCCGAGTTAAAATGTTCCGGTGTGCTGCGTGTCGCGTCGTCTGCCACGTTATCCTTCGAGGGTAACCATCTCCATTCATTTTTCTTAGTGAGTTCCTCAATTTCAGCCACACGATGCGCCACGAAAGTTTTAAATGTGCGTGGTTCGGCTTGAATCCAGGCTAGAGCGGTGGTAGAGTCGCTCCAGTATGTGAGGTCGTTGACCTCGTAGTCGTGTTCTTGTACGACTGTCCGGGCTAGGCGCGCTCCCAACAGTGCGGCTTGCAGCTCCAGCCTAGGTATTGAAATGGGTTTAAGTGGGGCTACCCTGCTCTTAGCTGCCGCCAGGGTCACTTGTACGCTGCCGTCTGACCTCTCTGTTCGCCAGTATACCGCTGCGGCGTATGCCTCCTCGCTAGCGTCTACGAAAGTATGTATACCCCTAGCGGTAACGTCACCGTAATCGTAGCAGCGTGGGATCAGCAACGTTTCTATAGTACTCAGTGACTTCATCCACTCTTTCCATTTCGGTAGTAGATCTTCGGGGAGCGGCTTGTCCCACTCCGTTTTGTATTTCCACGTGTTTTGTAGTATCCTTTTAGCTGGTATAGTGATAGGTGAAATAATCCCTAGTGGGTCAAATACAGACATAATTATACTGAGCGCCTCCCGTTTGGTGGGTGGGCGTGTGTTGTTTAATAATACAATAGGCGTTTTGTTTTTATTAATTCGGAATATGAAGCAGTCTTTTTCAGTATCCCATCGTAGTCCTAGTGCTTTCTCGGTGTCGTCACCGCCTAACACTTTAATGTCTTGTGAAGACGCGAGGTTATTATTCAACACATTTTTGTTGTTTGATATCCAACCGCATAAAACAAAGTTGGCTTTTTTATGAATGTAATCTACTTGTGTTGTTATTAACTTGGCTTCCTCTTCGCTGGAAAAACTCTGAAGGTAATCGTCCATATAATGATTATTTATTATCGCTGACACGGCGGCAGGGTATTTATCAGTAAAGTCTCTTGCGTTTCGATCCTTTATATATAGTGCCGTACATGGGGATGACGTCGCGCCAAATATAACAGACGTCATGCGATATTCACCCGGCGGTCCACTTCGTTGATCGCCTCGCCATAAAAATCTCAACGCATCGCGATCTTCTTCTCTTATTTTTATCCTCATAAACATTTCTTTAATGTCGGCTGACACAGCTATTTTATTTTGCCGGAAGCGCATTAAAACACCGGGCAATGATTTTAATAAGTCGGGTCCCGATAACAGTAGGTCGTTTAGGCACAGACCCGCTGTCTTAGCTGCTGCATCGTGCACCAGTCGTGGCGGCTTATGTGGCTTGGCTGGATTGACCACTGGGAAATGAGGTAGGTACCAGGTTTTATTCGGCGTACATGTGTCGGGCGCCTTTTCAGCATAACCTGAATTAAATAAATTTTCGAGGCGTTGTAAGTATTGTGTCTTAAGGTTTTCGTTCTTATCTAGTTTTCGTTCTAGATTTTCTAGGCGTTTTAGGGCACCTAGGTAGTTGTTTGGTATTTTAGGTTCCTCTTGTTTCCACAATAGTCCGGTCTCGAAGCTGCCATTGGGTAATCGTCGACTCTTCTGTTCTAGGATGTCTGAGGCTCGCTGTTGCGGGTCGTCTCTAGGTAACTTAGGTTCTATACCTAGCGACTCTAGTTTAAAAAAGTTTCTCATAGCTTCTTCTATTGGTTCCGGATTTTCTTCAATTTTAATGTGACCACAAAATGTTTCAATGACTTTATTTACGGAGTACTGACACCCATGCAGTACCCAGCCGAGTTTTGTGTACGATGCTACCGGCTGATCACGCGCACCTGTCCGTGTTTCTGAGACTACTAATAAATGCCAGTTATCTTGACCTATTAAAATCATTGGTTTCGCGTGATCATAGACAAGAGTGCTACTTATGTCGTCTAAATGCCTACAATTATTTATGTCCTGGTCATGTACCGTTTGCGCCATAATTTCGAGCCTGGTCACGGTGCGCGCCTCTATCTTCTGTGGCTCACTATGGTGCTTACCGCGAATGTGAAGGCTCACTGTTCGGCTTTGCTCATGCTTTAATTCCGTGCCTATGCCTTGTATCCACATAGGGCTCGCCGGCCCATCTGCACCTAAGATATCTGCTACTGACGCGTCTAACAAGGTGACTGTACTCCCATCGTCTAACAAAGCATATGTGTCTACACTTGTATGTGGTCCGCTTAACGTGACAGGTACTATCTTTAAATACGCGCGGCGATTCCGAGGCGTAGTCGTTGATACATTTTCCCGCGCCGACGTGACGGTTTCGTGTGTGATAACAGCAGGCGTCGGCGACGCCGCCGGCGGCGTCGCGACCTTGTGTGACGCCTCAACTTTACGCTCTTTGTGCAACAGTTTGTGATGTTTCATGTTGCATTCCTTTACGTTACAAATAGGCGCTTTACACGTAAACCTTCTATGTCTGTTTCGTAGGCATCTAAAACACATGTTCGAGTTTTTAGCTATATCCCATCGAGTATCAATGTCTAGCTGTTTATATTTACTGCAGTCGGGTAATTTGTGGCCGTGTTGCTTGCATGCCGGGCATTGGTCATTCGGTGTTTCCTTATTTACGTTGAACGTGCGCTCGACTCTGCGCCGCTGTCGTACATCACTGGACTCGTCGTTCCCGCGTTCTGGCTGAGCATACGCGCCACACTTGTCTGCTTCTTCATTCATGAACATAGATAATAGCTTTAATACGGGTATATCTTCACTTTTCTTACTAGACGCGTAATCATAAAATTTGTTTTTTAATATCGGCGTCAACTTCTCAACGATACAACGCGACATTTCAGGGCTATGTAAATATTGATTTCTATTTAGTGCTTCTACCGTACCCACCGTGTTTGCAATACGGCTAGCAAAAATACAAATGTCTCTAGGGTTATCATTTAATTTAGGTAACGATTTTACATTTTCTAACTCGGTCATTATCAAGGCCTCGGGTCTACCGAAACGTCTTTCTAGTGCGTCTAGAATGACCTGGGGGTTAGATTGACTAAACAATAGACAACCTACAGCTTCCTTTGCGGCGCCTCTGAGGCTCATCCTAATCCTAGCAACATTTTCTACATATGAAAAATACGTGTGTGAGTCACAATACGCGGCCTTATAAGCTATCCACTCACCGGGTTTTCCGTCGAAGATCGGTAGCTGCTGGACGTACCTCGCTGGCTCTCTTGAGCTGCGCGCGACCTGCGCTAGGGCCGCGGCCAGTGTCCCTACGTCTATCACTTTATCACTACCGCGCAACACTTCACTCGCGAGATTGCCCTTTGATTTCGCACACACACTTTCTCCGTAGCCGTCGCCGTCTCGCAGCGGCCGAGCGCCCGTCGCGGCGCCGCCGGTGTCCGTCGCTGCGTCTCTGCCGTTCTTCCCGTCGCTGGCGTCGTGTGGTGGCGGCCGAGTCTCACCTCCGGGTGGCGGCGCCGGTCGCGCGAGCCACGTTCCAATCCTCACGGAGGCAAGATCGTCTTCCAAGTCTTCGTCTTCACTCGACTCAGCTTCGGTTCTAATGCGCTGCAGCTGTATTTCCTGCAGCTCTCTCTCTGCCTGCGCTTGCTTGACTTTCATTTCAGCCAGCCGTTCTCTGGCCTCCAGCTCTGCGAGGCGCTTCTTTTTCGAAGATGTGGAACGGTGTGACCTGGTTTCGACAGGCTTGAGCGTACCATGTGTTCGCGTGGTGTCGGTGTTGGTAGTCGTCGTAGAGCCGCTGCCTGTGCCTGACACGCCGACCGAGCTCGATTCTGGTGCCGAGCTGCTGGCACCCGGTCCGGCGGTCACTGAGGGCTCTTCTTGGGTCTGTTCTCTTCTTGAGTCACCACTTTGGCTACGTGTTAACACCATCTTGCTAGTGATTATTCGGCTTCGAAGGACCAGATTGTGTGGCGAATGGACTGTATAAATATTATAAATTGAGACTCGATAGCTTGATTATGGATTTTTAATTAATTTACAAACTTTTACACAAAACATAAGAAATTTTAGAGTTTTTTATACGTAACAAGGTGGTGACACTTTTAAACCCAAAACTGTTTGACTGACTGACGATGCGCATCGCCATGGTCTGGCGTTTTATAGACGCTGACATGCGGGGGGCGTGGTTTGGCCAATGGCGATGCGTGGAGCGACCGAGCCGCGAGAACGTGTTTGTACTTGTCTGGGCTCGTGGCTCCGCGGCTCCGTTGCCCTACTACTAACGGGTTTATAGTCGTTTTGAACAGGTTTAAACCAAACAAAGACAGGTAAGTAACGGCGTGCGGCGCCGCTACGTCTGTGTTATGATTCCGTGGCGCGGTGGCGCGCCGCTCTGGCTACGTAATGATTCTGTCGTGCACAGAGGTACACCATGTAACACTACACAACGGAGTTGGGAGTCAAGGGCAATGACATACAACCCCGACTCGGCATGATGAGCAGGAGAAGGAACGGGATGGTCCTTAGTCAGTAAGAGTCTGACACTCCCTCCCGCCTAACCCTGGGGGCGGGAGAAGTCATTTGATAATGTTCCATACTTGGGAAACAAAACCCAAAGCGAAATTACTTGCGTAACTCCTTGGCGAGTTATCTCGACTAGTTTCCAATCTTGCCAAGGCTCTTTAATAAGCAGAATTGCGTGATGTTTTTTTTAGAGAGAGGCCTTTGCTCAGCTGTGGGCACTTATATGCTGATGATGATGATGATAGTCTAGTAATAGAAATATTTTTTTTGACTTCGAATGTCCAGAAACTAGGCTCCCAGATATAGAAGTACTAATTCAACCACTAGAAGATGATGACCAGCCCCTATCAGTGTTGAGGAGTAGCAGAACCAGGTCCGAGGATAATGACGAGGAACCTGATGCTGATTGGTCAGCTGCGCCGGATTTGAGTGACGGTGGTGAGGATTCTGTGTTTATATTTGATTGATCTGATTGCTCGACCACTTTCGAGTCATGACCGGGGCCTATATTTAAAAGTTATATCAAAGAAATGCAGCCCTAATCTAGGTTATGTGGTCATGTGGTCTCTTGTGTCATGTGTGCATTTACAAATACACATAGCATCACTGCTGTAATTCAGTGCTTGTATGGTAAATACTGTGATATTTGCCCATGCTGTTATTCGAAACAAATTTTAAAATATATTATTAATTCGAATATTTATTCGACATACGGTGAAGGAAAACATCGCGAGGAAACCTGGACTTATTTCTAATTATAAGTTTGAAATCGCCAACCCTCATTGAGCAAGCGTGGTGATTAATGCTCAAAACTCCTCCGTGTGAGAAGAGGCCTTTGCTCAGCAGTGGGCACTTATAGGCTGATGATGATGATGATTATCAAAAGTATGATTGTTTAGTAAGTTCGGGTTACTAATACCCTGCGGGGTAACTTTGATCCAAACCCTTTAACCAATAATAACTGAGAACCAAACATATATTCGTTTTTCATTGGTTCGAAAATTTGGATCAAAGTTACCTCCCAGGGTCAAAGTAACCCGAACTTACGGTAGCATATTTAGTTTCAACTTAAAAATAACTCTTTAGTAATAAAATATCAAAAATTTCAGATGATGAACAAAAACACAAGAGTTCCAAGTCAAAAAAGTACTCCTGCTCGATATGCGACAAGAAATTTTCATACAACGGCTCCTTCGAAGTTCACATGAGGGCGCACAACGGGGAGAAATCATTTAACTGCCACATTTGTGGCACATCCCATACAAATAACAAAGAATTAACTAAACACATAGAAAAACAACATATAGTCGACAATAAATACCCATGCAACATGTGCGAGAAAACATTCGAAAAGCCACGTCTTTTGAAAAAACATCTAAAAACACATTTCGAAGAAAAATTCAAATGTACGGAGTGCCAAAAGGAATTTCAAAGGAAGAAAGGTTTAAAAGAACACATGAAAATACATACAGGGGAGAAGAAATACAGTTGTTCAGTTTGTAATAAGGCTTTTGGACACAATCAGACTTTGAAATCGCATATGTTCACTCATACTGGGGAAAAGCCTTATATTTGCGATGTTTGTGGGCGAAGGTTTCCTCAGCGGACACATTTGAAAAGACATATCTATATTATACACACTGGCGTTAAACCTCACGCTTGTAATGTGTGTAATAAACAGTTTTCAAGTAAAAGCTATCTCGCTATACATGAGAGACAGCACACGGGCGAAAAGCCCTACTCTTGCGATGTATGCAAAAAAGATTTCACAGCGTACACAACTTTAAAAGTCCATATGAGAGTGCATACCGGTATAAAACCATACACATGCGGTTTTTGCAGCCGACAATTCGCTCAAATGGCGAGTTTTAAGCTTCACCAACGCACGCATACGGGCGAAAAGCCTTATTCTTGTAAAATTTGCAAAAAACCATTTTCTGATAACGGTTATTTGAAAATTCATATGCGAGTTCATTCGGGGGAGAAGCCGTTTTCTTGTGAGATATGTAAACGGTGTTTTAGGGAGACTGGGCAGTTGAAGAGACACATGCGGATCCATACAGGAATCAAGCCTTATACTTGTAAAATTTGTAATAAACAAATAGGTAATTTGTCGAAACATATGCGCGTTCATTCGGAAGAAAGACCTTTTTCTTGTAATGTATGTAATAAGCAATTTTCAATTAATGGTAATTTGAAACTGCATATGCGCGTTCACACCGGTGAGAAACCTTTTGCTTGTGACGTGTGCAACAGTCAGTTTACTCAAAGCAGCGGTTTGAAACGACATCGATGTTCGCACGGAAAAGATTTAGTTTCCTAATGGTCAGTTTCAGAAGCCTCAAAAGGCTTCGTTTTTAAATCTGAATTCGGACGCGAAAGTAATGTGATTCTGGCTTTTTGGCGACTTTCCACATTAATCTTCCCAATAGTGAAGGAATTGTAGAAATCGGTCAAGTAGTTTCGGAGCCTTTTCAATTTAAACAAACAAACAATATTTATAATATTTGTATAGATGGAAGAACGACGAACAATACATTTTACTAAAATAGTTGAAATTCTATAGCTATTGTTATTGCTTTTAAAAAAATAATAATTAATTCCGAAGTTGGGCTGATAATGATTGTTTTTATTATTACCCATGTTAAGATTTGTGAACACCCTATGTACACTTAAAGACTAATTTCAAACACCCTATATACAACAGGAAATAAAATGTACTTAATAATAGCAAGTTGATATAATAAAATATTTTTATAAGATGTAAGTTCATTTATTGTTAATAAAATAATGGGGTCTATGGTCTATCTGGTAAGCGCTGGATCTTTCAATAGTCAGATAATTGTTATCTGAGGAATAAAATTGTTGCTGTCCCTGTCTTATACAAACATTGTGACGCGACAGCATCATAATATTCCTCAGGTAACTTTTATTGAACAATCAGTCCTAAGTTAATTTAATTAATTTAAACAATCTTGGCATGTCTTTTTATCTAAATGTTGTCAAAAATTCCATGTAAACATTTTTACAATCAGCTGTTTACCTAAATCGATGTTAGCTAATAAACTGAATTTAGATAATCTTTGTATGTAATTTATAAGACCTCTTTAATATAAAAAGACATACCAACATTGTTTACCTTTAGTTAACCACCTATCTAAATCGATAGACCATATTATTTTTGCTGTCGCTAGATGGAGCTAATGTAGCGTGAGATCTTGTTTGCACCAATCACTGTAGATGTCAAAAGTTGAATGACCAATGAACGAACAGGACCGTAGCGCCATCTGTTGAGCATTAACTAATAGCCTTAATTATTGAGAAATGTAATTTATTCCGTTATTTCAATGATAGTTAAAATGGTAATTTAGTACACGAAATAAATTATTTTAATTAAATTGTTGAGTTTTTTTTTTCTTAAGAATATTTTCTTTACGCCCCAGCCGCCGTAGTAGGATACCCCGGCAAGGTTATAATATCTACAAGTATTCCAACTTATAGAAACGGCCGAAACGCGAACTATACCTACGCGCCCGATGTCGGGGCGCGCTCGGGACGCAGACAGACGCGGCTGTACCGCAGTGACGAACGGACGCTGTGTTGTCTTTTATTTAGAAATCAGCTCGAGTACATTATTTAATATGACGAATAGGAAATATTGTGCTGTGTTTGGTTGCATGAATTCGTCAATAACGCATCCAGACATAAGTTTTTTAAATTACCTGGAAACTCTGAAAGGTATCTAAGACTATAAAATAATTTTACTTACTAGTAGCCTAGGTAGGTACATAATGTGTGTCTTTATAATGGATCATTATTTCCTTTTATCTCACGCAAACATGTGTTTGAATTTATAAATAAAATGAATAAAGTTATTGAGACGAGTGAAATAGGTAGTTATAGGCGGTTCTGGTTCTGAATGAATCATGATTTTAGATTTTTTTATTTATTTTCCCGAGATAAGGTAGGACAACCAGGTACTGTTCTTCTTTAATTAAATCTACCAATAAAAAGACACGCATTTTTATTGAACACTTCCTATTCCTATTTGTTTATATAAAAAAAAGGATATTTACAATCACAAAACTAAAACAGAAAGTAGACAAAGGTAATTAAAATACTGGAGACGAGCAGCCCTAACGCATGTTTACGTACTGCGCGGCTGTATAGGTATTTATTTCTTTCAAGCGGCCGAGTCACAATACTGAATGATATTTTTACTGTGACCCCGGGCATCAGGGATTGAGCGACGATCTTCGGACACCCGGTAAGCGCGGGTCTGCGGGTGCTTGGGTAGGGTCGTGATTTTTAGTCAGTAAGAGTCGGACACTCTGTCAGTCCAAGAAGTAATTTGATAACTATCCACAGAAAAACAATATGTTTAGTTATTGTCACATGTTTTATTGAAACATTCAAATCCAAACACGGGAATTACTAAACGGATTTAAATAAAACTTTATACTAATACCTACGCAACATACCAACGTCAAAAATCTTAACTAGGTAAGCACATTTCCAAAAAAAAACCTTTCATCATCATCATATCAGCCACAGGACGTCCACTGCTGAACATAGGCCTCCCCCATTGACTTCCAGATAGGCCGGTTGGAAGCGACCTGCATCCAGCGGCTTCCTGCGACCTTAATCAGGTCGTCTGTCCACCTTGCGGGTGGACGTCCTACGCTGCGCTTGCCGGTACGTGGCCGCCACTCGAGAACCTTTCTGCCCCAGCGGCCGTCGGTTCTACGCGCTATGTGCCCTGCCCATTGCCACTTCAACTGACTAATCCGTTGGGCTATGTCGGAAACCTCTGTTCGTTTGCGGACATCCTCGTTTTTTATTTTATTAAAAAAACCTTTAGGTAACATGAAATTGTCTTTGTCTATCCCTACGAGCGATCTATCGAAAATATTCTTAAAAAATATTAGACCATGATATATTTCGTTTTAACGACCCGCCCCGGCTTCGCACGAGTGCAATGTTAATACAAAATTTCTCCACTATTTAATGGATGTTATTATTCATACAAAACATTTCTCTTCAATCACTCTATCTTTTAAAAACCGCATCAAAATCCGTGTAGCGGCACGATCACATTTGTCACAAATATACAAAAGGACATTTCTCGTATGACATCAACATCAAAACGCAAGAAAATTAAACAAACAGTTTTCATTCACCCCGAGCTCAACAAATGCTCACATGTATTCGTGCGCTGTGACAGAATAAGGAAAAGTTTAACACCACCATACGAAGGACCATTTCTAGTGACAAAGAGGATAGATAAGACGTTTATCATTAAAATTGGGGACAATGAAAAAGCAATATCTATAGACCGATTAAAACCTGCATTTGTCTTCAATAGTGGAACGAACGTGCCAAATTCAGAAAATAATCACAACGGCGGAACTCTGTGCTATTCACCCGTCCAACCGCCTCACTATTACCGACCGAAAAAGTGGTATGAGATTTTTGATTGACACGGGAGCAAATATTTCAGTTATTAGCAAGCCACAGAGACAGTCACTAATACAAGATGAACAATGTATACTTTATGCCGCCAATGGTACAAAAATTAAGACATATGGTGAAAAAACACTCTCTTTAAACTTCGGGCTACGAAGAAACTTTGTATGGAACTTTGTCATCGCCGATGTAACACAACCGATTATTGGAGCAGATTTTTTAGAGCATTATAAGCTATTAGTCGATATAGCTGGTCGAAAACTCATAGATAGGGTAACTGAGCTGACAACGCCCGCAACCCTGATCAAATCGACGCAGCAAACAATCCGCACTATTAACATTGAGACGAATCCACGCATTACTCAACTATTAAATGAATACGAGGATATTACGAAACCAGCCTCCTCCACACTACTCCAAAACACAAGATTAAGCATCATATTATCACTAAAGGACCAAGGAAAATATAAGGAACGCAGTATTAACAGTTCACCCCTCTCGCACCGCCCCTTTGGCACTTATGACGGACGCCAGTTCGACCTGTGTTGGCGCAGTTCTGCAGCAGAAGTCAGGACGTAATTGGGAACCATTAGGATTCTTTTCAAAGAAATTAAGTGATACTCAACAAAAATACTCGACATTCGACAGAGAGTTGCTCGGAATATATATGGCAGTCAAACATTTTCAAAGGTTAGTCGAAGGAAGAGAATTTACTATCTTTACAGATCATCGACCTTTGACTTACGCATTTTCCCAAAAACCGTCATCTAATGATACGCCACGGCGAATACGACAACTGGATTTTATTTCACAATATTGTACCAACATTCAACATATAGAAGGACGTGACAATATTGTAGCAGACGCATTGTCACGGATAGAACAAATTGATGTGCCATCACCGATTAATTATGCTGATTTAGCAAGATGTCAGCATGATGACCAAGAATTATTACGACTTCGTAATAACAAGAATTTAAAATTTTCAATCAGCAGAAACAATCAGCACAAATGCAGTGGATAGTTCATCGACTGCCGCCGCCGTCACAACAAAGGCAGCAGTTTTTATTTCCTTCGAATTAGCAACAATGACATTACATTACGCATAGGATGTAATTTATCAGCAAGGTTAAGTTATTATATAATTAGGTACATACTATTTTTTTTCAATTTATATGTTAATTATTTTTAAAAGGGGGGAGTATATGTAGCGGCACGATCACGTCGCTACATTACTTAGATACGATAGAGATAAGACACACATGTTAATTGTTGCACGTTTGTTAGGATAGCTAAATCTGAAAATCTCACGCATCTTCTTAGTATATAAGCACCAGCAATTAAAGTAATAAACAGACCTTAACCATCTACAGTCTCATTATTTACCTTGCCACGAAGTCTGGCAAAATCCGTTGCGTAGTTTTAAAGATTTAAGCGTACATAGGGATATAGGGACAGAGAAAGCGACTTTGTTTTATACTTTAAGTGTGGGAGAGCTATGCTTCAGCACGAATGGGTCGGCTCGACCGGAGTGATACCACGGCCTCACAGAAGACCGGTGTGAAACAACCACAGCGTTGTGTTTCGCCGTGTGAGTGAGGTTACCGGAGGCCCAATCCTTCCCCGCCCCCAATCCCTCCTCAATCCCTAAATCTCCAAATACCTAATCCCTAAAAGGTCGGAACTCACTCGTAACACCTCCGTTGCGGGTGTCCATGGGCGGCGCTGATTGCTTACCATCAGGTAATCCGTCTGCCCGTTTGCCGACAAATTACATAAAAAAAAAATACTATGTCTCTACCAAGTTCCATTAAAATCCGTTCAGCAGTTTTGACTTGGCCGAGTATCTGCCCGATTCCTGCGACAACTGAGCAATCAAATTCGTTATATAAAGTAATTTATTTCAGTTAATTTAAAATTGAAACTAAGCGTAACGCACATTAACTCATTCTCTGAAACAATGTACACAACTAGAGTAAAAAAAAATGTGTTTTTAATTCTTCTTATGAATTGTAAGTTTCAGTTTACTTTATGGAATAGGTCGGCAAACGAGCAGACGGATTACCTGATGGTAAGCAATCGGTGCCGCCCATGAAACAATAATAGAGTGCGCTGTCGACCCTTTGGGGATTTGGAGATTTAAGATTTAGGGATTGGGGGAAGGTATTGGGTCTCCGGTAACCTCACTCCTAGGGCGAATACAACGCTGGTTGTTTCACGCCAGTTTTATGCGAGGCCGTTGTATCACTCCGTTCGAGCCCACCCGTTCGTGCCGAAGCATGACTCTCCCAAACTTATAAAAGTATTCGGAACTACAATCTTAATTCCCCCTAATCCTTTCCATCATCGTACCGTCAGGCAATCGGCAAAACGGCTTCGCTTAATGGTGGACACGCATGAAGCGATTCGCCTCCAGTTTTATAATCCGAACCGCTGAGGAATTCTTTGCCGGAGTCTGTGTTCCCGAAGGGTATACCTGGGTGTCTTCAAGGCCCGAGTGAATAGGTTGCTTATGGGTAGACGTGCTCCATCGTAGGTCGTATCATCGCATACCACCAGGCGTGATAGCGGTCGAAATAAGAAAAAATGAAAAAAAAAGTAAATATTTTTTTGTTTTTTTTTTTTTAGTGAACGTAGCTACTTTAACTGACAGTTATATACAAGTTAAAAAAAGCAATTCAAATGAAACTGAAGATTTGGTAACAGAAGATGATGAACCGGGTGATTATTCTGACACCGAAATACAAGAAATATGGCAGAAGTATCTTATTGAAGCTTCTGAATATAAGAGGGCTCCCACGAAACCAACGTTATACCACAACCAACCCTTTTCAATATAGTAAGTAGACCCCTGACTAGACGAGATCAACAAGATCCAACAGACAAACTGTGTATACAGTTTTGTTGGACATTTTATACTTTTTATAATGTAAAATGTAGGTACCTTCCATGCAATAATAAATAAATAAATAAATAATAATAGACTGCTCAGCTCAGGTCAGCAGTGCCGGGGAGCTTAGTTAGTGGAGGGCGTGATGGAGCGATGGCCCAGGGCGACAAAGTCGTCCGACCAGCAGCAGGCCTCGAGGCGGCGGTGCCGTGTTCCGCGCGCGCCTCATAGTAGAGTCCTGCGGTCGGGGTGACGGCCGCAGTGGGTGACGGGGCCCGCCTTACCATCTGGCGGGCCAATACCCGTCGGGGGGTTGCGACGAATGCTTCGGCGATACCCGCCCCTCCGACACATGGGTTATTGGAGGAACACCGGGTTGGTTTTTAGTCAGTAAGAGTCTGACAGTACCCTTCGCCCTTACAGGCGACAAATTTTGGAGGGCGCCAAAGCCTGAAGTTGGGGTCTCTTGCCTTTCTTGCTGCAAACCCTCAGAACTGTGCTCTACGCTCTGTGCATTGTGCATATTTTTATGGTTTTTTTTTAGATGGATTTTTTGATGGTTTGTGGTCGAGGAGTAACTCTAACGATATCAATACGATCAGCAAAAAACTATCACTTGATATTGCTTCCCTGAAGTGGGCGCAAATATAGTTTTGCCCGGGGTGTCAGTGGCCCTTACACTGGCACTGCAGGTCAGGGGCTTCGGCATGAAGGAGCAATCCAAGCTGTCGCCCTCACGCCCCAGCCACCGCAATAGGCAACACTCCGGGCGTCGGGGAGAGAGAGCCAATAGATCACCACAGACGGGTCCTACAGGGCTGATGTTTTTCTTCTCTTTTCCTACCCTGGACAGGATAAGACATTTGAGAATATTACCTCATCAGAAAAGCTTAGATTACATATGTAGTTTTGTCAAGGCAGTATACAGTAAGGGAACCTAGGTCGCATTTTCGTTTAAGATGTTTTTTCAAAAGCTGTTGTGACTGTTGCATTTAAACAATTAGACCAACTGATGTGGTATATAATATAAATTACGCAAAAGCATAGATCGTCTTTTTACCTACAGATTTTACAGTAACTAAAACCATTTGGAATGTGGATCAAGGTACATTAGTAATCTATACTAAGTAATATTATAAAGAGAGTTTGTAAGTTTGTATGTAGGGGGTAAATCTTTGGAACCGCTGGTCGGATTGCCAAAATTCTTTCACTGATAGATAGCTACAATGTTCCTGAGTGCTATAGGCTATAAAACATCACGCTACGAATCAAATAAAACCCATATTTACCTAGTTTTTGTTTTTTAGCGACTTCTTGATGGATTTGATAAGAGCACCCGCTTCACTGGCAGACGCTATTTGGCCAAGGTATTCACCTTCTTTTATTAAATAGTTTGGCAAACGAGCAGACGGATTACCTGATGGTAAGCAATGAGCGCCGCCGCAACAGAGGAGTTACAAGGGCGTTGCCGACCTTTTAGGGATTGGGAAGGGTTTGGGCCTCCGGTAAACTCACTCACACGGCGAAACACAACGCTTTGGTTGTTTCACGCCGGTTTTCTGTGAGGCCGTGGTATCACTCCGGCCGAGCCGACCCATTCGTGCCGAAGCTTGACTCTCTCACAAACTTAACTAGGAATACTTTTTGTGACATAGAAAGCTACGAAACGCAACACTGCGCGTGTTTATACAATTATCAATGAGTGTTGTTGTGTGAATTGGGTAGTTTCCTAGGTCAAAAATAAATTAATTGGAAGTTTCAATACAATAAAATATAGAAAAATAACTATACTTTTATTCATCGATCGATTCATACACTAAGTTTTAGATATTTTGTAGCTAATTATTAAGAAATAAGTAAGCTATTTGACACAAAAAAAACTATGACGTCACAACTCAGTTTTTCAGACAAATTTCAAAGAAAAGTACCTATCGTATTTGACATTTGGATAAAAGTATTGAATTTGTTATTAGTTGGAAACTACCGTATTATTTATATTCAAAATACTTTAACAAAGCTTAAACTATGCAAGTTACTAATATTCTCTATATCACGGCAACTCTTGAGATTCTTAATTCTTACTTATCTTTCTAATATTATAAATGCGAAAGTAGCGATGTTTGTAAATTAATTACTCAATCACGCTAAAACGGCTGGACGGATCTACATTAAATTTAGCACAGGCATAGGTTACACTCCGGAATAGGACATAGGCTACTTTTTATCAACTTACCACGCGGGCGAAGCTGCGTGTGAAAGCTAGATTTCCATAACTAACAACTTACATAAAGGTGTTTTTGTGCCATCCTAATGATGTAGACATTGACTATTTTATTTGACAGTCAACGTCGTTCCAAAAACGCCGACCGACTGAAGAAACTGGAGGAAATGAAAAAAAAATCGCAACAGAAGATAGACAATAAGGAGATGGCGAAATCCGAGGGAATCCTTGACCCGTATTGGGAAGATGGACATTGGGTTTATGAAAGGTATGTACCTCCTACCTACATACCCTTATCACCACGTGACGTGATTCATTTTCGTCACTTCTTTATAAACTTGAGACGTGAAAAGGAATACCCATATCACCAACGATGACACATGCCCCTGTGACGGCGCCACAACACAGACATTCTTACACCTCTTAACACATTTTCCGCGCGCGCCTCAAAGAGCCAATAGACCACCACAGACGGGGCCCTATAGGGCTGATGTTCAGCCGGGGTTGCGGGGTAAGCGCAATGAGGCACCGCGACCTCGGCACAGAGCAGGAGAAGGAACAGGGGGGTTTTTAGTCAGTAAGAGTCTGACACGCTTTTTTTACTTGCAATAAACCAGTGCTTGACTGCGATCCCACCTGATGTTAAGCAGTGATGCAATCGTTGATGGCAAGGCGCACTAGTTTATTAAGAGCCTATTCACTCTAGCCTTGAAGACACCTAAATTGTATTCGGACGGAAAGACTGTTCCACTCTTACACACTTACACTCCCTCCCGCTCGGCCCTGGGCGGGAGAAGTCATTTGATGATTTTCCCCTCACAAAAAAAACCTCTTAACACACTGTCCACGATACATAAACACCCGCTTTACACACGAACAACTATGTCACAAATCAAATCAAATCAAATTCTTTATTTCAAATAGACCAAAAAAGGCACTTTTGAACGTCAAGCAAAAAAGATATCATAAGGTTTAACTTTATATGTGTCAGTCTGTCCGTCTGTCCTCCAGTGAAGCTATTTGCTCGTTCCAAAGTGTAGATTCCGATGGAGAAGAACGAACAAGAAACTCCATGGTTACTCTTCACCCTCACCAAATTGATCCATACAATCTTGAACAAATCACTTCCGAAGAACACACCACAAACACCTTCATGACACACCTCACATACATGGTAAATCATCATCAGCCTATAAGTGCCCACTGCTGAGCAAAAGCTTGTTCTCATACGGAGAAGTTTAGAGCATTAACCACCACGCTTGCTCAATGCGGGTTGGCGATTTCAAACTTATAATTAGAAATTATAAGTCGAGGTTTCCTCACGATGTTTACCTTCACCGTTTGTCAGTGGTGTCTAAATAATCATAGAAAGTACATGTAACTCGGAAAAAGTCACATTGGTACTTGCCAGGTTTGCCTTGCCATGAGAAGCGGGCTCCTCAACCTCCGGGCCACCACACATCGTAAATACACTCAAAAAAATTACACATTACACACATGAACTCACATTAACACACTCAAACACAATAATTATTATTTTCTTTGTAAACAACCACCTTTTATGTTTATATCAGTCTCATAATTATGCCCCCAATTCATCCCATATACAAATCTGTATCAAATACCAGATAAGATTTGCGCATTGGGTCGCAATAAACTCCCTCTTGGGGCGGGTTTAACTCCAAGTGGATAAAAAAAAAACACCCAAATGCAACGGGGATCCTTTTGATAAATATGTTTTTTATGTCATAGGTCGTCAAACGAGCAGACCGATTACCTGATGGTAAGCAATCAGCGCTGCCCATGGACACTAGTAATGCCAAAGGAGTTACTACAAGTGCGTTGCAGACCTCTTGTAGGTTAAAAGCATTTAAGGATCGGGGGATTCCAGGATTGAGGATGTGGGGGGAAGGATTGGTCCTCTCGGGTAACCTCACTCACACTGTGTAACACAGCGTAAGTTCCACGCCGGTTTTCTATAAGGCCGTTGTATCACTCCGGTCGAGCCGAACCATTATTTTATTTTTATTTTTATATAAACGTTGACACTAGGATTTTCTCCTGTGTCGTGGGGGTGGTTACAAACATACAATTTCACATACACATGATACCCAGACTCGGGTAACAACAATTTGTGGATCACACAAAGAGTTGTTCCGTGCGGGAATCGAACCCGCGACACGTTGCACGGCAGAGAGAGAGAGCTAAATGTGTAGTTAAACCTTTTCGTCTAGGCCTCTTTCGCATCAGCCGGGGTTGCGGGGTAAGCCGAAGCGCAATGTGCCACTGCATCCTCGGCCCATAGCAGGAGAAGGAACGGAGGGATTTTAAGTCAGTAAGAGTCTAACTCTCTCGCCTTACCCTGACGGGCGGGAGAAGTCATTAGATGATTTTCCCCTGACAAAAAAAGCTCTCTTTGGCAACGCGTTTCGTGCCAAAACTGTTAACCTAAAAAATTTGGTACCACTTAAACCTTTATGGTTACAATAACTGAGGTCTTTTTTGCAGAACGCACGCCCCAGAAGTAAATCAAACCACAGTGCAATACAAGTGTACGTTGAAAATATTTTTGCCGTTTTAAGGTTTTTTTTATGTAATAGGTCGGCTAACGAGCATCCGGATTACCTGATGGTAAGCAATCAGCGCCGCCCATGGACACTCGCAACGGAGGAGTTACGAAAGCGTTGCCGACCTTTTAGGGATTAGGGATTTGGAAATTTAGGTATTGAGGAGGGATTGGGGGAGGGGAAGGATTAGGCCTCCGGTAACCTCACTCACACGGCGAAACACAACGCTGTGGTTATTTCACGCCGGTTTTCTGTGAGGCCGTGGTATCACTCCGGTCGAGCCGACCCATTCGTGCCGAAGCATGGCTCTCCCACACTTAAATTTGTTGTGGCATTGATTTAGTAACTTTGAACCTAGTTCCTGCATTATGATAGGTACAAGTGTGTAATGTTGGTAACTATATGGCCGAGGGCCGAGGACGGTAAGTAAGGCGATCCCAACGCCATCTATCGAGCAACATTTACCTATGCTATTTTACGTTAGTTTTATAGTATTTTAAATTCTATTGATCACGTTACGGCTTCGCATCAATACACATGTTTATCGTACGACGTATTTCAATTCAACACCCTTCTGAATAAAATAATAGGTAAGTAAAAAAATAAAATTTTACACAGTACATAAAAAATATTTCGTAATGGCGGGAAAATTTATCAGTTTTTTAGGCGCGCGCATCAGTCATAGACTAAAATAGGGTTTTTAATGGGCCGCCCTTCCGCGTTACGCAGATAGCATTTTAGCGCTATATAGTGTCAGGCGTAACTCAACCAATAGTAGGTATTAAACGTAGTGGTTACATACTCTTTGGTAGGTATAAAAAAAACTTACTCACTCGTGAAGTCGTGAATAATAGTCATGAAAAAGTCACAGTTCGATTATAGGTGTCATTACGTGCCTAATTGCCGCGGGATTAGAGTCACTGTATGAGGAATTGTGTTGAAAATGGCAAATTATCCGCGTTGCCGGCTTTCTGGAGGTTACGTAGTTGAGGATTGCATGCCATCCATGGACACCCGTATTACCAAAGAAATTTCAACGACCCTTTACTTACCTATATATTTTATTTCACACAATTTGTGAACTTACTTTCTAAATATAACTTAATGCCCAAAAGATATCTCTGCTACTCAACCGCAAGAGTGATGGAGAAAAGTGTTAACAATGGGTTTTAATCAAGCACACACATTATTATTAAGCATAGGTAGGTACACAAGTATACATATATGCAACATATACAATTAATATATGTATAGTTCTAGCGGTCGATTAGCTAGATTTTTTTAAATTTTCTCTACGTTCAATTCTTTTCTTGACTTCCACGAATAACTCAAGACTAAAATTAATGCCAAATCGGTAAAACATTGTTGAGTTATAACATTACAACGTGGCATTGATTTTTATTTTTTCTTCATACAAGCAGTGTGAATGGCGGACTTAATGCCTTAAGGCATTCTCTAACAGTCAACCATAGGGCAGTGCAGAGAATTTTTGCGGTTGGTGCGAAGCAAGGACACAGAGTCCTAGAACAGGATGAAAGGGGAAAGAAAAAGGAAGAAACAAACACGATTCTTTACACATAAATAAATAGATATGCATAAAATAAGTTAACGAATACAATAAATAATACATGTTAAGTATGGATATATTTTATTATTTTATTTATTGATAATCACAACCGTGTAGGTACAGATATTGAATTACAATATATAATTACTTTTCGCGTTAATACCCGCGTAATTATATCATCCATAAAATTATTTCATTAGAAAATAACATGAAACGCCATAGTTTAAAAGTAAGTACGACTGG